GTAACATTACAAGAAACATTAGAAGACAGCAACATTAGAAGAAATCTTTCGTCAACTGGACTAGACCAACAAAGGATTAAAAATAGATACAGAATACCTTAACAATCTAAGACTTGCTGATGACTTAGTCCTATAATTTCCAATAGTCCTGAAGGCAACATTAGAAGAAACATTAGAAGAAACATTAGAAGACAGCAACATTAGAAGAAATCTTTCGTCAACTGGACTAGACAAACAAAGGATTAAAAATAGATAGAGAATACCTTAACAATCTAAGATTCGCTCATGACTTAGTCCTATAATTTCCAATAGTCCTGAAGAACTACAAGCACAAATTACTGAACTAATTACAGCCAGCAATAAAGAGAGTCTTAAAATAAAAATTCAGCAAAAACTAATGTATAACGTAAACATTCTAATAAATAACTAATAAATAACACAACACTAGAAATAGTAGAATATTATATATATTTGGGGCAACTAATACACAGCTCGGGATCTCTACTACCAGAAATTAACAGAAGAATTAAGTTGGATAGCATGGAGTAGTTATGGACGAAACTCAATCATATTCAAATCTATAATGCCACTCTATCTAAAGAAGAAAACATTCGACAAAGGTGTACTACTGGTCATGACCTATGCATGCGAAACCTGGACACTTAAAATTAACATCATAAGGAAACTGCAGGTCGCACAATGAAATGAAATATGCTGGCAATCACCAAGAGAGACAGTAAAAGAATAGAGTGGATACGACAAAAGACCCAGATAGATGTCATCCGCAGAGTCAAATCCCTCAAATGGCAATGGGTAAGACACCTGGCAAGAAGAACGGACAACAAATGGACCACAAAAATTACAGATGGTACCCACAAGTAATTAAGAGACCTAGAAGAAGAGCGAACCTGAGATGGGACCATGATATTAGGAAATTAGCAGGGATAACTTGGGCCCGCATAGCCATCAATAGACAACAAGGGATCCAGCTATGAAGAGAGTATGTGAGGGAGGCTACACCATAATTCGAAATGGTTGAATAAGTTGAAAATGATGATGATGATGATGATTCATAGTTCTATTTGGTACTCATCCTTGTATTATTTTTAAAATAGAACTATCTATTTTTACCTTGTTAAGAACGAAACAATTATATCGAGCAATAGTTCACAAAATACTGGACAAAATATGTTAAAACTGCCTACTTTAGAGGGTAAGTATTACTACAGTACTACTATAAAAGTAGGTAATAAAATTCTTAGAAATACTCTGAACTTAAACTATGCACTATTTATAGGCACCAAATACGATATTCCAGTCAAAAACTACCAACTACCAATCGCCGATTTGCTTTGCCTTTTTTACAATGCCGAATACAACCAGTATGACTCACCAGGTCAATTAAGTTATTCATAGAAAAACAAGTCAATAAATAATATGTTAATAATAAAAATGTTGTTTGACTTGTAATAACCGAAATTCGGAAACTTTTCCTTTGCAATAACAATCTCATAAATAAGTTTACTATCAGTTGTGATTAATGCGGATTAATGGTACCCTCCTGGACCACACCACACTGGCTTTTGTGGGTTTAGAATGAATTTAGAATGAGTGGGAGGGGGGTTAATCACTTCGACCTTACAGATCCATTGTGTCCCCCTTTCTTGAATCATAACTCATCATACAGTCCCAGGGCTTTGACAAAAGCCAGTATCTGGGACGGTTTTATAGAGGGTAGTTCTCCATCTCCAATATCAGTCGTACCAAAATTCATGGCACGAATGGTTGTCGTCTCGGCGCACTCAGTGATGAGGTGTACTGGTGTTTCACCATCTTCCCCACAGAATCTGCATTCGCCGTTTCTTCTTAGTTTCAATCTACTGAGGTGTTCATTGAGGAGACAGTGTCCTGTTAAAAACCCCGTGACAATCCGAAGATTGTTCTTACTCAGACCCAGGAAGATCTGTGATTTTTTTTGATCATAAGCCCTCAGAAACTTCTTCGAGTGTCCTAGACCATTGCAAGATTTCCATTCCAGGTTGCGGATGGAATCTTCCAAGTTCTTGAGTTCCGCCTTGAGTTGGTTACCACTTGGAAAGCAGAACGGTTCTGGTCCAGTTAGTGGAGTGTTCGCTCCTTTCCTAGCTAGATTATTTGCTTTTTCATTGCCTTCTATCCCTTGGTGAGCAGGCACCCAGTGCAGGAGGACTTTGTTTTCTTTGGCTAATTCAGCTTCTCTATGCATTCTTTGACTAATTTCGAATTGATTGATACTGAGTTGATCGCCTTTAATGCTGCTTGACTATCAGATAAGATGGTTATTTCTTGTTTCCGATAGTTCCTATCTAAGATAAGTTGTACGCATCTTTTGATAGCGTAGATTTCTGCCTGTAGGATACTAGGGTAAGTGCCCATTGGTTCGGAATATTTAGTTCTCGACCCAAATACTCCGATCCCTGTTCCCGTATTGGTTTTGGAAGCATCAGTATATCAAGTTATGGTATGGTCGGTATGGTCTTTTAACTGCTGGGCAAGCGTTTCGCTCTTCCAATCCTTCTTATTGCTCAATACTACATTGACATGTTTGTCAAAGTTGTACGTTCTTGGCATATCGTCCACTGGGAGTTGCAGGAGTAGTATTTCCTTTTTGAGGGTGTTCCAAGCCCCTGATCTGACAATTCTCCCAGTACTAATTCCGTTAGTGACCATTCTAATCATTGTCGCATTGGCATATCTACCAATGACAATGTGCAGTGGTGTTAGATCTAGAATGACTTCCATTGCTGCTGTTGGACAGGTTCTCATGGCTCCTATGATGCAAACGCATGCTAGTCTCTGGACTTTGCACAGGTTTAGCCTTGCCGTCCGTTGCTCTAGTTTTGTGTACCAGGCAACTGCTCCATAAGTAATCATGGGTCTTACTATCATGGTATACATCCAGCGCAAAATGTTAGGGGAGCAGCCCCATCTATTTCCGGCCAGTCTTCTGCATATCATGAGAGCCTTTATGGCTTTGCTGGTGGCTTTTGTGGGTACTGACAAGTGCTTAAAATTAGCAAAAATCAATTATCGAGATAAAACAGAGCTAATTTTTAAGTTATTTTCAGGTGTTAATTATTAGATATATATATTTTCATCATAAGGTGATTCAAACACCTATATATTTTAATACTAAGTTGTAGTTGTCAAATAAAATTCTGTATACTTTTTTCCTTAGTGAATTTTTCATAAAATTCCCGTTCTAAAAATACAATACTGTCAAAATCTGTAGCGAGTGTTATTTGTTATTTGGAACATGAGCGTTTACTTTACATTAAATTTTCTACACATTTAAAGGCCTTTAAAAATTAAAGAATCGCAAATCATTTGATCGAAAAAAAAGAGCGTCAGCGATTGTTATGAAATGAAGATCCCTTATGTAAAATTATATGGGAAATGTCATCGATGTTCATTTCCACAGCCAACTGGACGCCGTTTTTTTTTCGATCATACGGTATTTGGTTTCCTTTAAAACTAAACATAGTAAAATAAACTAAATTGCCTGCCATATACAAAATGAGTCAACTAGATATGTAGGTCTCTGAGTATGTAATCTAAAATCTAAATTCATTTTGTCTAGTACTGACTACTGACAACACCATAATACAGATAAATACGACACCTAGTTTTGACTCACCCCCTGTATACACCGAATTTTGATATACCTACTTAGTTCTGAAAAATACATAATTGAATATTTTTAAATGTATCAAATGACAATTACAAAATAATTGTCTTAATTTTTTTACATACTTTAAATGGGTAATTCTACAGATAACTCATAATATGGAGTTCAGGGATTTTCCAAAGATTTCAGTTTAACTACTAGTTATAGGACCTATATGTAGTATTTTTTTTATCTTTTTTGTGGCAGATTATCTTATCCAAGATCTTATAAGGAATTAAACCTTTGTCAAGTTTACAGATATTAGTTTTGTCCTTATGTCTATTGTAAACAAAGATAAACAAAAAAAATACTTTCTACAAAGTATTTTTTTTATTTCTATTTATATTCTATTACATTTTTATTTATATTTAATATAAATAAACTGTAATAGGTATAAAGATAGTAAATATTTAGTCATAATTAAAAAAATATCAATTGATAATCAAAAAGAATAAAAAACATGGGATGCATATACAAAAATAAAAAACCCGTAGTTTAAAACGGTTTACAAATAAAAAATAAAAGCACTAACTAATAAATACAAAAAAAAATAATAAAAGAATCCAAATTATATTACATGCAAAAAATAAAAGTACTGCAGTTAGTCATGATGTTATAAGTAGGTAATTTTTACTTGTAATGAAAATATTTATAACAGAAAATGGGTAAATTCGAGGTAAATTCCTTATCGTCGTCAGAAAGAACAATATACCCTCTTCTAGTGGGTTCAATGAAAGTTTTATAAATTACATCATGTTTCCTGAAAAAATTGCACGTAATATAATTATTCATGAAATCCTATGATGAAATCATATAACACCAAATTTTTCCAACATTCTTTAAATCAACTTTATGTAGCAGGGTAGGATTGTATATGTGGTAGTAACAACGGGGGTAATCAAGGGTAGGTAATTATTAATGAATCTCATTTACATTTTAACGTAACTACTGTCTTAAAATCAATATTAGACACTTAGTTAATAAAATAGTATTTCGATCTGAGCTTGTTATTCAAACCTGTATTTCTTTCTCTTTTCTGTTAACTGGGATAATATTAATTATTGTATTCCAAAATCAATATCGAAGAACATGAATTCATATTGCACGTGTAAATTTTAAACTGACGCCGGCGCAGTGTCTGTCAATCTGACAGCTCTCAGCTGTTTACAGCTGTATTAAAAAAGTTAATAAAATTAAAGTACGTACGAATTTAAGTTGCTATTCAGTCTTCTACAAAACCTGTACGCTTATTTAGCGTCTTAACTATTTCCTTAAAATTAAATTATTCACATACCTCGAATGGGGAACGGTTTCGTCTGCACTGTCTCCGTATTCGGCGGCAACAATCTCTTCGTTTCTGGAGACATTACGCTAGGACATGCCTTCACCTCTTCGTTTCTGCAATTTTTAACATTGCTATAGTTCTTAGATTTAGAAAAGGTTCCATTCCGCACCCTCAAAGAGCCACTTAACACGTCCAAACCACTACTCATCACGTTAACTTTCGGCGCACGCTAAACAACAAATGACCGTAGTCTGGTTGACCTTGTTGTCACTAGTAAAACAACTTCGATTACCGATGCTGAATGTCGACTGCGTTTATTACGGAGTGCGAATCTTGAAAAACATCGTGAGATCGTAAGTGTGCGTCAGTTAACAAAAATTTCCTAACCAATCCAATACTCTCTTCGCCACTCCAGACAAATTATCACTTTTCAAGCAGACGCAATGACAGTTCGGACAGGTCCATTATCAAAATTAATTTCCGTTAGGGATGTCCGATTTAAATCGATTCTTCAGAAAATCGATCTGTTGACATGCCATTCCCAATTTTTTGAATCGATTCGTTTAGACCGAGATCGAATCGTCATTCAACCACCAAATTTTATGCTCAATTTCAGAGTCAATCGAAAACCAAGAATACTATAGAGATAAGGATAGTTCGATTCCTATCTTCCTGCACTGTCAGTTTTTTTACGTCATCTACTGACCGAATTGAAGTTGGCGCTAAAGATTTTAGACAGTGACAGTTATTTTTGCATTTGAGGGTGCAGCCACACTATCCTAAAAACGGCGTATCGGCGTAACGGGCGTAATGACCTTGAATGGATTTCCAGTAATTCTATTGGCTGAAACATTCATCTGTCAGAAATTTTATCTGTCAAATTCATCTGTCAAAAATTTTAGCCAATAGAATTACTGGAAATCGATTCAAGGTCGTTACGCCGTTACGCCGATACGCCGTTTTTAGGATAGTGTGGCTGCACCCTGAGGGACGAGCGCACAGTGCGTTGGAAGATAAATTTAGCGGGACTAAAGCGTTTGGTTAGAAATAAGCCAAAAAATGTGTACTGATAAGAATAAATAGTAGACATTCCAATTGATACAAAAATGCATGAATATTCTTTCTATTTCGATACATTTTTATCAACCAAATTTGGTCGTTTCCTGCTCAGCAAGGCAGAGGTCATACGAAAACAAAATATTTACAAGTGCTTATACATTTTATTAGAAAGCCAAATTATGTTGAAGATTGCCAAAGGTATGTGCTTTTCTACTGTACTTATATTATTTGTTAAAATCCTTCGTGCCTTTGTTCTGCAGATATCAAACTTTCACTGTTTTTTCAAATATCGATATATTGAATGATGTAGATCTGTTGAGTTACCAATAGTTACCAACACAGGTAGTCACAGTCACAGGGAGTTCAAGCTTAACAGATGAATGCCCAAAAAGATTCATTTCAATCGGATAGTATAAAAACAAAACAACTCCATCAAAAGGCACTGAGTTTAAAAAATTGTCTTAGATACTTACTATATATGAATTTACAATTACCGAGTGTTAAAATTAAAATTAAAATATCTATCTTACTTATTATTTTCAAAATAAAATATATTTTTTTAAAATAAATTATAGAGGGTGTCAGAAGATTACAAATTAATTAAAAAAAACTGCTAAAGAGTTTTTTGATATAATAATTTTATGTATTTGGCAATAGTTTACAATACGGTTTTTGTGTGTCATGTACGAATAATATCATAGTTTTATTATCTTGTATTTATTTATTAATAAATTATGATGTTAATAAATAAATAAATTTAACCATATAGTTGCTATATATTAGACCATTTGCTACGTTCTTAGATTTTAAGTCCCAAACATTGCTCTTGAGATTTTGTTCCGCTAAAATAACCATCCGCCGCACTGTGGAGCGCTGGTCAGCGTGACGTAGCATTCCACGGCGACTACGACAGCGGCGATTTGACGCGATCGAAGAGTCCTTTAGAATATATACAGTCCTTGATCGAAAACACCTTTTTTAAATTTATTTTCAGGACGTTGGATGGCGCCCGAGCGCATTTATTGAACAATGTTCTATATTACGTCAGTAAAAGCGAACTGTGGTATTTCTATCCTTTAATAATAATTAGTGTATGAACAAAGAGGGAAACATACTCAGTGCGAACTGACTATACTAATCCAAAAAACGAAATTACAATTTTTTATATTTGACGTTTGACGACGATTGACATTTTTTGTGAAATCCTGAAATCGTTGTTTGTCAAAATAATTTTAAATTTAATTTAACTTTATTTTGTTTTATGTTTATGCCTTTGTGTGTAAAAAAAGTCATAAAGAATAGAAAACATAATGTATTTTTAATTTATTGCAAAAACGGAAAATCAGAGTCAAAAATTGAATTAAAAAAAAGATCGATTTTTAGCTTCCGATTTTTCTTGTATCGATTCGCGGTCATTCGATCTAGATCGATCCAAAAAATCGATTCTTTTTACAGAATCGCACATCCCTAATATCCGTGCAGTGTTGCAATTCTATTATTTTAAAAACTGTTGATTTATTCAATTCAATTTTATTCAATTCATTAATAATTAAATTGAGATTAAGATATTTTTCATATTGACATAACTGTAAATATAATTACTCTAATAAAGTTCTTTATGAAAATGCATGTCTACTGGGAACATTAGGAGGTAATTTTGAGTTGATTTTTATTAATTTGGCAACATTGTGCAATATGATTTTTCCTGGCATAATCTGACAGTGGCGTGGTTACAAATCTTAAATTTTTCATAAAAATTATTTTTTTTTATAAAAATTAAAACTACTTACGCTTTTATCCAACGTTTTTGACGTTTCATGCTGCGAGAAATAAACATCAATATTTTCTTACGAAAACACTTTTCTTTTTTTCTTGTCGAATCTCGCTATAAAACATATTTTTTGTAAATTTTAAAAAGGCGTAACTTGTGTCATAAATTTTTTTATGACACTATCTTGACAGTTGAGGTAAAAAAAGGTATACAAAAATCGAAAAACAAGGAACAAATAAATATATTTTAATAATTTTCACAAACAAAGGAATTTTAAAAAGGTATAATTTACAGTATTATGGACATTCAATAAATTACTGTTTTAGACCTACAGGATTCATCTGTGGGGCCGGTTTCGAAGCCACCCCTCCTAAAAGTTTCTTGATTTCGGCAATAGCCCGTCCAGGATTCAAACTCTGAAGCAAAAATAACTGTTTGTATTCATATTTCAGTAGAATTTTTATAGTGCATTACCTTAGGACATGTTCTGGTGCAGTTCATTATAGTGTGGCAACGAAAAGCTGAGAACGGATCCCGCATTTTATCGAGTCTTTTCGCAGTTGCGTCATCTCTAGAATCGATGATCCAGCGATAAGCCTAATACAAAAGAAGACAGTAATTAGTAAATGAAAACTATGTGGTATTAAGCATTACATATACAGGGTGATCCGAACTGTATTCCGGAAACTTTGGCAGCATATTCTGCAAATAAAAATAAGTAAAAAAGTTTGTATAAATGTATGTTCTAATATGCTTAGTTTCGGAGATACAGGGTGTAGAAGTTTCGTTTTTATTTCGATTTTTTCTAAATAATTTCTGAAGTAAGGTCAATATTTGGAAGAAAATTGGTGTCTGGGGTTTTTTTGACATATGAAATTTAATTTTAATGTCAATATGACTCCTATTTATAGGGGACGCCACCTACATATTTTTAAATTGGTGTGACTACTGTAACTTTTTATTTTTATAAATTATATCTTCATAAATTTTTCTTCGAAAAAATGATGATAAAACAGTTTTTGTTAAACGGTTGGCACAAAAACATTTCAAATTTATGATTTCTGTCTAATAACTATTTAGTCAACATGTTTAATTTATGTCAATGATGACAGGTATTGATAATTTCGATCCCAAATATATTGATATATTGTCGTAAATGTATATTTTTTTAATCAGTAGTTTTATACAGGTACAAAAGAAAAGTTATTACTCTTCAAACCAGTTAAAATATGTAGGTGGCGCCCTCTAGAAGTAGGAATCATATTGACATCAAAATCATATTTCTCATGTGAAAAAACTCCCAGATACCAATTTTCATCTAAATACTGACGTTACTTTAGAAATTATTTGAAAAAATCGAAATAAAAATGAAACTTTACACCCTGTATCTCCGAAACTAAGCATTTTAGGACATAATTTATACATTTTTATTACTTATTTTTATCTGCAGAATATGCTGTAGAAGTTTCCGGAATACAGTTCGGACCGCCCTGGATACATCAGAACTATAAATATTATAATTAAATTATACAAATGGATACTATATAAAAACCAGAATAACTATTGTAGGTATGTAATGAATTTTCTCTCCTATTTTTATTAAGATATTATAAATATTTATAAATTCAATGACATCAACTGTATCATATTTTAATTCTTTGGTTCATAATCTTATTGCATAAAGAATATTTGAAATTTTTCTTTTTACAAAATTGCCTAAACATTTAATAATGCGGTTTTATACTAACTTGCATAAGAACTGCTGGTCCCAAATATTTATCACCATTCCACCAGTAACTTGGGCAGGATGTTGAGCAGCAAGCACAAAGAATGCACTCATAGAGGCCGTCCAACTTTGCTCTGTCATCAATACTTTGTAAATACTGTTGAACTTCTCCAGATTTAGTGGTAGCTGTATCTCTAAAATATACAGTCATGCCAATATACCCAGCTGGTCTTTCAAACTATCGTCGATGCGGAAGAAGAGCGTCACATCTCAAAAACCACAATATTTCAGGAGAGCCAATTCAAAATTTACTCAAAATGATAATGATCTTAATATCATTACTTAGCATTCGGCATACCGACAAAATAAACTAAGAAGTACCCTTTGATTCTGCTTTGCTGTTAACAAAAAATTAAATTTGAATGATTTTTAGTTCGTACAGCAATAAATCTCAAAAATGCAAATTTTTGACATGTGATGCTTTTCTTCCGCATTGACGCTGTGTTCTGGATTTTAGTGCGTGTGGCAGAGAATAGTATAAATGACCAGTTGACAGACAGAGAGACAACGTTACGTTTCTACAAATTGACAATAATAATGTCCAAGCCATCTCTGACGCCGTTTCCTTTTCCATGGTATGGTATACAGTTTTTATTTTAATCATTATGAAGATATGTAACCTTAAACTGAGAGCAACCCAACCCAACCCATTATTAGCTGTCAAATTTTTAGTCACGAGTCACGATTAGTAATGGGATAACTCAAGCGAAAATTCGCTCGAGTACTCGATTATTGAAATAACAGACATCGCTCGATTATGAACGAGCGATGCAAGTGACGAGTTTCGAGTGACGAACGCAAGCGATCCTAGAATGAAATAAATTGAAATCCGATTCTAATGATCATAAAAAGTCATCAAACATACTCGATAAAAAGCCGAGCGATTTTCTACATACATGCAGGTAGCAAATTTATACGACGTTATCCGTTGCGTATCTGAGGGACAAAATTTTACGACCTACATCGACAATGCTTTGAAATAAACTAAATCAAGCGATCAAGTGATCAAGCAAATCGCTTGCTACTTGCCATTCATCACCGAAAGAATGCCCTGTGCAATATGCCCTGCGCACGCAACTTACTGCTTGGCGCTTGGCGTTAACGCGTACTTACAACAAGCGACGGTCGAAAAACCGTATTTTCAAGTACGAGCGATATTTCGCTCGAGTGATCGCTCGATTATTGCAATCGCTTGAAACTCGAGTACTCGATTATTGAAATTAATCGGTTTTTCCCATCACTAGTCACGTTCATACCATTTATATTTACAGTAACCCAGGTATTCGTATTAATGCACGATAATGTACTGTGTGATCAAAAATGGCGCCGTCAAGTTGGTTTGGAAATGAGAGTAAATGACATTCCCCATATAATTTAACATACAAAATGACAGTAATCTTCATTTCGAAGCCATCCTTGATGCTGTTTTTGCTTTTTCCATGGTATGGTAAAGCCTTATAAATTTTATAAGGGTTTAGTGATTATACCTTAGAGCTATAGCTCTATATATTATATATATTCTTACTTTCTCTGTAGCCATGGCTCAATAGATCTATACTGTTGGTAAAAGTTGTTCATATCCGGAACTAAATCTTTCACAACATACATATGGGGTAATGGATAAATCTTTGTTGCTTTTCCAGAACCTGCATCAATTTTACTAAAATAAAAACACTATTAATAAAAAAATAAATAATCAACATTTTAAGGTCCACCTGATACATGCCAGTGTATTTACACCACCGATATTCATGGCGCAAGATCCGCAAATACCTTCACGGCACGACCTTCTAAAAGTAAGGGTAGGGTCAATTTCATTTTTTATTTTAATCAAGGCATCTAAAACCATAGGGCCGCATTGTTTAAGGTCGACATTATATTCTTGCATGTAAGGCTTCTGGTCAGGTTGGTCAGGATTCCAACGATAGATGGAAAAAGTCTTAAGACGTGGCGATGAGTCTTTCTTGGCTTCAGCATTAACAGCTGGAGACATATGAAGCAAACGAACCTGTTAAATTATAAAAACAAAATTAAATAACTATTTATAGTAGTTGTTACTGTATACAGGGTGCTACAAATTCGAGGTACGAGCATTGGTATATCGGTAACCGTAATAGATATGAACATGGTTAAATTGGGGCAAAGTTGCGCTTTAGGATGTTCACCAAGATGCCATCAAAAAAGCCATTAAAAATGTCAAAGATTGCTGAGCTTTTTGAAAAAAACGAATTTTTTTGAAAATCTATTTTATTTTTTCCTGTCGTTACTTTTTAGAAAACCAAAAAAATAATTGCACATTCTCACAGCCACTTTATTAGGGCTATCTGACAGTATTTTTAGATTTTTAAATTAGCGGATAATTTGGGAGATACAGGGGCTGACTTAATTTTTTTAAATACGGACCTGCATTTTTTATTTCAGTTTTTAAAAGAACTCGGTCTCCTGACTACAATGATATGCCACACTTTATACTTTTTTTTGTTTCGGACATTTGAACACAATTTATTTAAACTAATTTCAAGTCCGGCACTGTTTTTTTTAATGTTTAATCTATTCATCGTTACAGTATTTATAAGCCTTTAAACTTTAAAAAAAGAGTACTAAATGCATTCGCAAGTATAAGAAGCTATGTTCAAAAATTTAACTAATAATAAATTTGTGCAATAGGGAGGAGGGTGGTAACCATGTGGTAACCTTTTCAAACATGGCAGAGCATTAGAAACTAGTTTGTAGAAGTTGATTTATTTATAATAACTACGATTACTATTAAGGCCGGTTTTCATATACGCTTCGCCGCGCTTCACTGTACTTGACTTGGCTTCGCGACAAAGCGTCAATTTACCGAGATGAATTTACATATAAGCTTCAAAACGGAGCGTCAGTTCACGTGAAACCAGCAGTGTGGCTACGAAGACGACCTGAATTGAAATGTTTAGTATGAGCAGTTCTGACAGTTCTTCATCAGATGGAGCATTTGTTCTAGCACCAGTGTGTGATTACGAACAACGGAAAAAAAAGAAAACGCTGTAAATATTGGGTACATGATATTTTCCAAGCTAGACTGTCAGAAGTGGAATTTCACACGCTTTTAAACGACCGATAGAAGACGCAAACAAATTTTATAAATATTTTAGAATGTCTCCAGGGAAATTTAATTTGTTATTGGGATTAGCAGCAGAGAAATCCACAAAACAAAATAGCAGATTCCGACCTTGTATAGGACCTCAAGAGCGTTAAACACGCTTGATCGAGCAACGCTGCACTTCAAATGCGCGAAAGAAAGCTCTCCGACAATTGGAGGCGTCAAATCGGTTGATGTCAAGCGAGGCGCAGCGTAAATGAGAACTGCTACGTAAGAAACCACAAAGACTTTTTAACGCGACATTTTGACGCTCGATGAAGTCAAGCGTAGTAAAGCACGATGAAGCGTATATGAGAACCGGCCTTTATGCATATTATTAGATTGTACACTGAGATTTCAAATTTACAATAAAAAAAGTTAAAAATAATATCTTTAAATTGCTGACCTGGATATTATTTATTTGAATCTTTCAATTGGCTAGATTTTCCTTATTCAATGTTAATTAGCGCTGATCAATATTCCTGCGATAAATATAATCAGATTTAATAATTTAAAAAACTAGAGTCGGACTTGAAATTATTTTAAATAATAATTAAATAGTTTTGTTGTTGTTAAGGTACCCAAAACAAAAAAAAGTATAAAGTGTGGCATATCATTATACTCAGGAGTTCTTCCAAAAACTGAAATAAAAAATGCAGGTCCGTATTTAAAAAAATTAAGTTGGCCTCTGCATCTCACACATTATCAGCTAATTTGAAAATCTAAAAATACTAACAGATAGCTCTAATAAAGTGGCTATAAGAATGTGCAATTAGTTTTTTGGTTTCCTGAAAAGTAACGGCAGGAAAAAATAAAACTGATTTTGAAAAAAATCCGTTTTTCCAAAAAACTCTGCTATCCTTAAAATTTTTAAAACTTTTTTGATGGTATCTTAGTGAACATTCCAAGGCGCAACTTTGCCCCAATTTAACCATCTTCGTATCTATTACGGTTTCCGAGATACCAATGCTCGTACCTAGAATTTGTAGCACCCTGTATATAGGTAACCTTCTGATTATATAAAATCAACCAAGACTGAGAAAAAAATATATCTAAATTAACTTTACTAGGTATAGTTAATTTTTATATTATGTAGATTATATCATATGATTAGCAGTGTCGAATTATAATTTACTTATATTCCCTAATCATTTAATAGATATTCTCAAATTCTAAAAACTATTTAATTTTAGTTAAATTTCATTATTAATTAACTAATTATTTGAGAAACTTAAATTTACTAGAAAGGCGTTTAGTTTTAGAGGGGGTTTTAATATGGAAAAAAGGTATTTTAAAACTCATAATAATCGAAACATTTACAATTATCCTGCAACACCCCTGAATCAATTTAATATAATTTTCCAGACATATAAAACATGTTATAAACATTTAATTAGGTAAAAAAGAATATCCCTCGGAAAAATTTCAAAATAATCAACATTATCTTATTTTGTTATGTAATAATTGATTTTGGAAATACCTGGGAAAAGCTTCCTCTGCATATTTTTAGCAGTTGCATTTCTTTCGTCATAGTTCAATTTTTCCAAAAAAACTTATGAAAAAATATTTTTAATAATTTAACTTTTAAATTTTTCTTCGGAAATCAGCTGGCAGCTGTCTCTGCAACTCGCCAGTCTCTAAAATAGGAATGATAACAAAGTATCGATTGTCCTAAATATCGATATAATTCAAAAAAATACCGAAATTTTAGTCTCGTATCATCAGTATTGAATATGTTCAATAACTTTGGTGGTGTTAATTTGGCGTTAATATTCCTAGCCAGCGATAGGCAGACACCAGGTTCGAGTATATTGAAATTTGGGTAAATACCCAAGGTCTTGCACCTTGCACTTGATATACAGGGTCGCTGTAATGTATGGAAACGGTCGATTACTTTGAATAAGAAGAAGGAGCATATCAAAAATCTTAGGTACACCGCGATAGGCCTCAAATATGGCCGACTTAAATTCCGGTTTATCAGTGTCGTTCTAATTTTAATTAAAAAATGTAAAACTATGATGTAGGGTAGACGTGGGGTAGACTCAATAATTTGTTGTTTTATTTTAGGTTGTGAATAAATGTTGATAGTTGAATTGTTATAAAAATATATAATTCTAATAAAAATAGATAAGTTATAATAAGTATTTATTAACACAAACATCCGATACGCTACTGAAGCAGGTAAGTCAAATTAACGTATCTAAATTCTTTGACATCTAATCTTTGACAAGCAATAAATAAAAGCTAAAAATGCAAGAAAAATATATAATTTAGTTAATTTAAGTGAATTTCATAAATGATCGGTTTACTACACGTATGTATATTATATAGTCACTTACTAGCGAAAAGTTGTTCCATTATTTCACTCAATTTTTGCCGAGAGCTACCGCACGCTACACAACCAACTATTTTAGAGTCTTTTGATAAATCGCGATAGTGTCACTGTTAATTTAAGTTCTGCCACAATTTCCATCTAGATTTACCACCTTTATACAACTATCAGTAGTAGAATAAATAATAAATAACATAAAATAAGTTCCGTAAAGACTGACAAATCCACAAAATTTCAAATCAAATTCAAATGTGTCAAATGAATCGTCAAACAGAACTGTCAAGGATTCAAGGATCCCCACCCTAGAGTGCTTTTTCCGCTCACCATGCATGAATACATGGATAGCATAAGCTCCTTCCTTAGTCTTCTTATGGTCTTCTTATTCAAAGGTCGATTATTAGGTAAATATAGGAGGTACCGCACAAAGTTAAATACAAAAGTTATAGAATTTTTAAATATCTACTAGCGAATAAATCTAAGTATACAAGGTAGGTCTTAAAGTCATGGCACATTAAAGGTTCATTTTTTAAATAGAAAAAAACCCCTGTATATATTGCATATTTCAATTCTTCCTTCAATTCTGAGGAACCTCAAACTGTGTGTGAACACAAATGAACCAACCGTTTCCGTGTTATTGACTTTTTAAAATATCACTTAAACAATTTGATTAGTTTCGATATGTTCGGTTTCATTTAACGATGCCATTTTGCCGAAACTGTGACTCTGTGTTGTAACGGGGTTTTAAAGGCCTATTAGGTACTATAGTAAATTTAAGTATACAGGGTCGGTCATAAAGTTGTGGCACATCAAACTTTTTTTTTAAATGAAACCCCCTGTATATTATTGCATATATCAATTATTCTTAATTCAATTTTAAGCAATAATCGTAATACACAATGTACATAACTTGAAAAATAGAAATGTTAAACGAAAATTTTGTAATGGAGGTAGTTTTTACCCTTCTTATATTTTTTCTTGATTTTTGCGAAAATAAAATATTAAAGCACTTAGCAAAACATAGACACCCAAAATCTCATACAAATCGGAATAACGGTTCTTAAAATATCTGAAAAAATGTGTTTATATTTTTAAACTTTGAAGCCCTCTAGCAAACAAACGAAGCACTTTTGTATAGAGGTAAATTGTGCCCAATAATCTTATTTCAAAACCTTATTTTGATTCTAAAAATATGTAGGAATATTGGAACACCCTGTATATTTATAAGTTAGAATATCGATGTTTTATATAAATGACCATCACTACTTTTAAATTCTCTGGACAATGCAATGTTGCCGTTTTTTGGGAATGGCCATGTATCAGAGATATGGAAGTGGGAGAATGAGCTTCGACGAGTGCGCATCCAAATTTTTGTCGACGGCAAGATGGCAGACATCTTCCAGGTCTCGCTGTCACTTCCCCTCTTTAATTGACATCTGTTTGTTTTGTTTTTTTTTCGTTCGTGTTGTTATCTAGTTAAAATTTATTATCTCAATCAGAGTCTCAATTATTCTAAACACTAATTCAAAAAGGCTTATTGTATATTGTCATAGTCATTCTAAGAAAGCTAATACGCCGGGAAAAATGATTAGTTTTCATGTGTAAGTTTATACAACGTAATCGTGTTTACAGATGATCCAAAACTGTTTATTTTTAGTTTTCCTAAAGGCGATTTGTAAAAATCGTGATTGTAATTGGGAATGGTCAAAAATAAGTGTATGATGTGGCCATTTAAAGAGGATGTTTTTATTACGTGTGGAGGAAGAAGATACTTGGAATCAATGTTCATGCTTCTGTAAAACAGTGCACTCTTATAGTGTCCATGAAAGCACAAGTTCAAGTGTACCAGGAATATGTCAAATAAGATTGGTCCTTACTTGACAAGAAGATTATTTGGAGGAAAAGATAACATAAGATAGGGTATTTTAATCGAACAGCGAAAATTTAACATTTTTATTGTAAAGTTTGTTGTAGGTAGTTGTAGTTTTGTGCTAAATATTTCTAACATTAGCAGCAGCAGTGTTCAGAGTGTCAAGAGGAGGAGAATTCAGTTAATTAGATTTATGCACAGTTACAGGTATGAAGGCTTTTTCAAACATAGTATCAAGTTCTATAGTCAACATTTTTAGTATTCCTACAACTGTAAAAACAAGGAACATTGGACTGAAAAAATGGCAAGATTTATATATATATAGGAAGAAAGGGTATTATGCCAATAGGAAAATTAAATCTGTAGGCAGAAGTTTCTTATTTAAAAACTGTTATGGGGCATATATTAATTTGTATCTGTGCCACAAATCACTGAGAAAAATCATATATAATATTCATAATTGTTAACGAGATGATATTTAAAGAGTGTTAAAAATGAGACTATTAGTCATGAAGCTTACAATGTTACTTTGTTTCAATATTACACTTTTATTCTTGTAAAATCTATGATGAAGTTCAAAAGCATTTTGCAATGGCCTTAAATTGTGAGTTGTGAGCCAGGATTTATAGTAAAGGTATTTGATGCAATGAAACTTAATCGGTACCTTCCAGTATGTATTTTAGTAAGGGGATTGTCAATCCCATGTTTTTAAATAGATAAAATACAGGCCAAAGTTGACAATATTACAGTTGAGAAGAAACTATTTTATCTTAAAAAAAAATTTCTTAAAATTCTGAGATCATATAATCTAATTTTCTTAATAATAAATTAGGTATATGTACATACAGAATTTTGTTATGGACAAATAAGGATCGACAAGCTTCTTTTGTGCAAAAAATAAATGATTTTTTCTAGTATTACGACAAACCATAATGTGTTTTACAAACTTACCGGTAACAGTTTTTGTTTATAATAAAATATTTAGGAATAATTTGGGTTGTTTATCAATATATTAATGACTTGAATTTTGACAAATCGAATTTGTATCAAAATAATTTTACGAAATATAAAATTGATGTTCTATTACAAGATTGAGTTTTTATTGTCGACAAAAACCAGGATAAATACTAATAATAATACCCTTAATAAAATCAATGATGTTTATGTATTATGAAAATATTTGTTAGAGGACATGTTATGTAACAGTTTTTGAAACATAATTTGAAGGGACGAATAAAAAAAATAAAACAAAAACATATTTTTTCTAGGTTTATATTAAAAATACAAGGTAGATAATCATCAAAAATAATTATGAACCAAATGTTTTTTATGAATATACAACTTGAACAAAAAGTTGTTTAGAACAATTTTTACCAAATTTGCAAAAATTTTAAATTGAAACGCGTAATTCAGTACAAGTAAACATGAAATATTGTAAATACTTATTTAATATCATTTCGAGTGTTTTACGACGAAAAGGTCATCTGTCCGTAGCGTCTTTGTCAGAATATTCGTATATTTAGTGTATTATATACCAATATTGTACGCAGTTTTGAAACTGATAATTAAATAAATCATATTAATGTTAACTAACCATAATAAATGATCGAATTTCACTAAATTTAAATTACCCCCCGTATGGTTGAAAACAGCAAATTGATATTTGATTACTTATAGATTACCACCTATAATACAAAATGACAGGAAGACCTGGAATATGGCGCCCAACTTGATTAGACCTTCTGCGCATGTTGACGCTCATTCTCTATCCCTTCTATTTCTCTGCCATGTATCCGTATCAAGGATCCGTATCATAATCCATATTAATTTTATTTAATTTTATTGAACAGATTTACAAAATCATAGCATTAATAGTAAAAGGGTAATAAGAAGTAAAAAATGCCACTTTAAACAGTGATACAAACTCAGTAATAACAATTGTAATAACTGATTTGTGTTTTATTTAATTTTGTAAATTATCTATCTTTTGGAATGTAGCGACATCTCTCAAAGACAACTTAGTACTATGTAAATCAACTACCTAACAAACCGTTACTTTTTGAAAGTACTTACGTATTCTTAGTTAAAACAAACCAATTGAAATCTTATTTAGTTTATTGGTAGGTATATATTTTAAAATTAAAATAAAATATAAAATAAAATGTAAAAGGCAAAAAGAGAAATCTATGATGTTGGTATCCTTTTATTCGGTAACAACAGAGGACACCACAGTCGAGAAAAATATAGATATTTTTGACGTTTGCGCCTGTGGTAGGTGACGTTTACAGAAGGATTTGGATATTTTACTAAAATTCATTTTCCAATTGTCATTGGGTATGTTTAAAACGTGCTTTTGTTTTTCATAGTTTTTATTTCCATATTATTTTCCAGATAACCACAAGAAGCTGGATAATCTCTAGATCCCAGTTTTCTTAGGACGGATTTACTGTTTTTACAGTACAGTAAGTGTTTTTCTTTTATTTGAACGTTTTAATTTTGCAGTTCATAATGTGACACGTCGACCACTATCATATTGGTTTAATATAATATTTTCTATTATCTAATTATTTCCAATATAATTGCCTTAACGAGTGAGATTTAATAATAATACCAACCCGTGTTTATAGTGTTTTCCAGTGGAGATCTAATAAAAATTGTCATTTTTAAATGTTCCAACTATAGGTACTTTTCCATATGCTAATAGAAATATTGGAATTTTAAAAAACTATTTATTATTTAATAATTTCTATGGATAAAGGTAATATGTGTCTTTTATATTGCACTGTTTCATTGATTAATGTTATATAGATTTTTAATTTTTGTTGGTCATTCTAACTTATTTTGTTTCAAATCAGGGTTTAAATATCTACCTAAATATGTACATTCCTCAATAATAGTTCATGTTCTGATAATTTAAATATTATTTAACTACTTATTTATTCAAAAGTTTTGCATTATTTGCCCTGTTATTAACTAAACATATTTGTTGACATCTACCTTAGTAGGGAATTATTAAATATCTGATAATTTTGTTAATTTTAAATTAGTAAATAATAGATCAGAATAAACTACATATATAATCATAATACAATATTCAGTTATGTTCACATTAAATTTTGTGTACGAACTTATTAATTCTTTAATGAAAATTAAATTATTAATAAATATTTGATTTTGAATATGTTAAGTCTGAACTAATATTTTTTGTCAAGTTTTAGTGGCAGTTCATCATATATCATTTATAAATTTTCAGTGTTGCTGTAACGACTTGGCGCGAATCAGGACATTCTCAACATGCAGCAACCAGTGAACGAAGAGGGCGCAGCCTATTACGAGGCACCAGCTAAAAGTTACGACGACCTCTTTCCAGCCTTACCTGAGTCATGTTTACCGCAACAGACCAACAATGCCACTCCTCAATGGGGCAATATTAACAATAAGATGAGAGTGAGCTCTTCAGTCATTACACAAGTTTTCAGGTAAGTTTTTTTTAATTTGTAAAATTAAAAACAGTTTTTAATTTGTAAAAGTATGGTTGAATAGATATAAATATTGTAAAATTCAAAATTGCTGTAAAATTAAAATGTAAAAAAGTGAATCTGCATGGTATTGAAAAGACAGAAAGAGTTTCAAAAAGAAACATACAAAGTTGTTTTTCTTCCAATACTAATATTTGCCAAAGTAATTTAGATAAGTTTAATTTTACTGATAACCTTAAGATTAGAGTATTTTTAAAGTTGTAGAGAAAAAATATAGTCATGCATTTATTCTTGCAATTTAGCAATTTTTGAGCAAAATTTAAGAAAGTTGACAACTTGATAATAAATATTTTATGAAATCTGTTTCATTATTAATACTGAGTGCTTTGTGGAATGAAACATTTGTTATGAAAAATTATATTTGACCTTTTTTTTACTTTTAAAACTCAAAATCTATGTGATTTTTCAAAATTGATTGGGTAAACAGATACATTTTTTTATGGCATTAGGATCTAAGCAAATTTTGATATTTAAAAATTTTGCAAAAACTATTAATGCCAAATTATGATGCAAGCTAGAGTGAAGGTTGGCATACCTATTGCCAAAGTCTTCTCATTCACTTGCTACAGTTAAATATACAAATGTGTAGTAAAATATAACGTTTTGTTAATAACCTGATACTTATACAGGATGGGGCACCTCATTCGCCTCAGTTGATTATACGAAAACGGAAAGATGTAGAAACAAAATATTTTATGGGTATATGTGGTGAGGCAATGTGCACAATTTAAAATTATTTTGAAATATACAGTTTCAGAATTAAGATCCATACTAAAGTTATATTTTTTCTTATGGAACACACCCGGTATTTTATTTCATTTTTGGATTCTTGGGCATAAAATAAGGCATTTATTATAAGGGTTTAATATGTTTAAATGCTTTGGTTTTTGAGATATTTAAAGATATTTAAATATATGCATACTATAATATAAAAGTTTATCAACTTTTATATTTACTTTTCAGAGTTAATTCTTGTGCTCACTTTGAAGTCAGAGAAATGAACTTTACTAAAAAACTTTATTGCTTCCTTAAATATATACAGGGGTATCAAAAATTGCTGGTCTATTTTAAATATTTATTTTACATAAAAACTTCGTTATTTCAAATGCAACACTATGTATTTTTTTAAATAAGTCGAAGCAGATTTAAATGCTCTTTCAAACTATATTAGGGTTTCCTATACCTATCTGGTTCAGATTTTAAATAAAAAGCGATTTTTCAATAAAATGGCAATCAAGATGGCTGGTGTTGCCATGGCAATATGCTAGTGACAGTAGTAGCTGATTTTCAAAATCGACATTAGTTTATGGACTTTATTTAAATTTATAACAGTTTACTTTTATTTAATTTTCCTACCAATAGTTTAATAAGTAAAGTATTTATTATTTTATCAAGAAAAATGAAGAAATTCGTTCTTTTGATTTATATTATGATGACTTGTAGATATATTGGATTTTCTATAAAAGAACTTCTATAAAAGACAGGTTTCTGCCTAATAGGTTTTTCATTTACCACACTATCAGCTCTGCGAAATAGAAAAAACAGTTTTTTTTTCAAAGGGACGCTTGTCAAAAAAATTCCTATTTGGATATCTTTGAGCATAAACTCTTCAGGCCACATAAAACATGTGTCCTCATAAAATGTTTGTGTGTTCTCACAATATAAAATTACTAGTAACATATCCATTCCTCCAGCCAACAGATACTGCTTCATTTTTCTTGATAAAATTATAAATACTTACTTATTAACCTTATTATAGGTAAATTAAATAAAAATAACCTGTTATATAAATTTAAATAAAGTCCATAAACTAATGTCGATTTTGAAAATAGCTACTAAGTGTCTCTAGAAAATTGCCATGGCGACACCAGCCGTCTTGATTGCAATTTTATTGAAAAATCGCTTTTTATTGAAAATCTGAGCCAGGTAACCCTAATATAGTTTGAAAGAGCATTTAAATCTGCTTCGACTTATTTAAAAAAATACATAGTGCTGCATTTGAAATAACAAAGTTTTTATGTAAAATAAATATTTAAAATAGACCACCAATTTTTGATACCCCTGTATACATTTACAAGCAATCAATTTTTTTAGTAAAGTTTATTTATCTGGCTTGAAACTCAGCACAAAAATTAATTCTGAAAAGTAATGTACAAGGTGTTTGCAAACTTTTTTATTATAGCATGCATATTTAAATATCTTTAAATATCTCAAAAACCAAAGCTTTTAAACATATTAAACCCTTATTTTTTACTTTGGTTTAGATCTTAGTTTTGACGCACCCTGTACATTTCAAAATAATTTTAAATTATGCACATTGACTTCCCACATATACCCATAAAAAATTTTGTTTCTACATCTTTCCATTTTCGTATAATCAACCGAGGCGAATGAGGTGCGCCACCCTGTATATCTGTTACGGTTAAGGTCCGATGTCCGGTTAATCACGAGAATAACACACAACAAAACGACCAAAAACATAACCAAACCCAAACCCATTAACCTGTTAATGTCCACATTAACCGGACATCAGACTTTAACCGTAACATATCCATATAAAACTTTAATCAGTTATACAGGATGTAATTAGTGTTACAGATACATGGGGAATGATAATATTCTTCACAGTAAAAACATATTTTAAACATACAGCCAGAGTTCATGCCTTATTAATGTAAAATTTGATATTTCTTTTTTTTCAACATTTTCAATAAATTTAGCATTATTACTCTTTTTTTTTCAATTCATGTAAGATATTAGTATATTAGTAAGTCATGACATAATATTATTATACAGTTATTACCAGAAAAGGCAACAAGTGGAGTTTTTTCTAAACAGAAACCCGGAAGACAACCCGGTTCTCAAATTTAAGCAAAATATTTTTTTTGGAAATTTTCAAAGTAAAATAACTCGGTTATTTTGGACTTATTTGGAAAACGGAAAAGAGAAAATATGTTTCTTTTGTCGAGATCTACCAGTCCTTAGACATTTGCGCATATTTAACACACACCTTGTATATAATTGAATTTCCTAAAAGAAGTGTATAGTCCAGCAAGAAAAGATACAATGAATATGATTAATACTAAAAATAATCTGATATTCAATGGATTTCATCTGTCATGGATATTGAAAAAGATATAATTGTGTAGAAGAATTTGTTTATTCGTATATGCTAGTTATAAAAATTAATCGAGTACTCGAGTTTCAAGCGATTACAATAACCGAGCGATCGCTCGAGCGAAATGTCGCTCGTATTTAAAAATACGGTTTTTCGCCCGTTGCTTGTTGTAAGTACTCGTTAACGCCAAGCGCCAAGCAGTAAGTTGCGTGCGCAGGGCACATATTCTTTCGGTGATGAATGGCAAATGGCAAGTAGCAAGCGGCGAGAGATTCGCTTGATCGCTTGATTTAGGATTTAGTTTATTTCAAAGCATTGTCGATGTAGGTCGTAAAATTTTACGCTAGATACGGATAAATATATACTAAGGGCTGGCAAAGGTTAGTCTTGGGTCGAGATTTCCGTATGTAAGAAGAGTACAATGCGTTTATAATGTACTGAACAAAGAGAGGACAGTAAACACGTTGCCAAACGTATGAAATAAACCGAGAAACTGTGCACATCGCTAAGAGACGTGGAAGGGGATATAGCAGATTTGTCGCAGTTGACCGGCCGACCCAATCAATATCTCTGTCAGTAGGACTTATAGTTCTAGGGAAAGGTGTACGTCATGCGTTCAGCTTCACGATTTAATTACGTCTCGTGATACTTAATTTGTTTATTTATTAACGAGTCGTTGTAATTTTCCCTATAGCTTGAATAATTTTCCCTATAGCTTGAATTTTTTTAAGTGCAAGCTAGAAACACTTGCATTTTTGGTAAAAATAAGTGGAATTGAGTGGGTGTTCGATAGTGGTTGCGCTGTTAGAACTCTGAATTCAAAAATCGATATCTCGAAATCTATTAGAAATAATAGATTGTAGTTTTTTCAAGAACTTTGTTAATATGTATTTCTGCTGTATTTTCTTTGTAGACAGTATGTGAAAATCTTTATCAATAAGAAAATTACACGATTGCTGAAAATTGCTATGCTCTAAAAGTAAATGGATGGATTGTTTACAATTTTTGAATGGAAAAAACAACCTTAACGAATTTTTCTTATGTAAACATATTGTAAAATATACGATCTTGAAAATAAAAAAAAGTTTCAATATCTAAAGTGGTTCTTGAGTTATGGCCTGTTATGTATTAAAAAGTTAAGTTTTTAAATTATCGCGATTACTGATGTTTTCTCGTTATAAAAAAATGACACCCTAACGATATCCTTATAATTCCATTTCAGATGCTCAGAAACATGTCTAATGATTTTATCTAGTTATCTCTTGAAAAAGTCTTTTAAAAATAAGCGGTTTGCGATCGTGATTTTACTTTACTTGATAGGGAAAGGCGTATCGGCAACGCCGCAACAGCACACCGTCGCGCGTCGCGTCGGTCGGTCGCATTTCTCTCACTCCGACTTAATAAGATCCCTATGCGATTTACTTCCACACATGTAAATGCCGACCCAAAAGTAATTGTTGCCAGCACGGTATATGGGGTCGTATAAATATGCTACCTGTAATGTACGTAGAAAATTCTCTCGGCTTTTTATCGAGTATGTCACATTAAAATCAGATTTCCATTTATTTCATTCTAGGATCGCTTGTGTTCGTCGCTCGTAACTCGTCACTTGCATCGCTCGTTCATAATCGAGCGATGTCGGTTATTTCAATAATCGAGTACTCGAGCGAATTTTCGCTCGAGTTACCCCATCACTATTAAAAATGTTCACGTATATTTCTAAAAATACTACTTTAATTGAATACAATTTTCGTCTATACAATATACAATACGTAGTAGTTCTATTTCAACATAATATTCAGACACCCTGTATATTATGTAAAATTATATGGTGATTGCCTTTGTTTGAAATTGACTTGCCAATTTGTATTTGTAATCCATTATATTCTCATAACTTTTATAATTAATTTATGATTCACAATTGACGAATTTTAATTCCTTTTAAAAAATAAATACGAGTAGGATACACTCACTAATCTTATATATGTAAATTGCAGTGACAGCTGGAAAACTAGGTTTCTTCAATCTTTGGTCAATATCTCAATATCTTAGTAATAGGGCAATTAGTTTGGCATCACTGAATATTCAATCAACAATAATAGTTCTAACGAAATCCATTTAGAAACTGACACGCATTTTTAAAATATTCTGTTTAATATACAGGGCCATTCAAACCTATTTTTACGATAAATTGTATTTTTTATGTTGAAGGTTCTAATATATTTTTTGGTCATTCGATTTGCCATGAGTTGCTGAGTAGTTAATTCTTATTTAGAGATCGACTGATCTGTTTTTTTGTTTGTCGCCGAGGCCTTAAAAAATCAAATCAGTCGATCTACGAGGCTAGCGACAACGAGATACCTATTCTGAAGCGCTAGTCTCAAACCTTGTTGCACTATGTTTGTACCAATGACATTTAGATGCTATTGGTTTGTACCCTAATTACTACGCCACGTATCAAAGGGCATTTAACCTTTCCAAACAATACGGTAAGTTCAGCAATTTTACGATTTTGTTTCTTCCATTTTCTGTGAGCAAATAAATTCTCGTTCATTTATTTGAATATAATGTGTGCTGCTGAAGAGGTTTTTCTATAATTTGATAAACGTATGGTTAAGTATACCGGGTGCGTCTCAAAAGTGGCTCACCCCTATAATTTTTTAATTTTTTCAGATAAAACTACGAGATTTGGTATGTTAGTATATGACATAAATTGAGATTGATTGACGTATTCAATTGTTTTCGGTCACTTCCGGTTTCACCGGAAATGCCTACAACTTTTGATTTTTAAATGGCACCCTCGGTATTTTTTTACTTTATTCTATAGAAAATAACATTCTGAATAGTGACATATCATATGTCAATTTTGACATTTTTGCATATGGTTTATTTGAAATTATACCTTGCGGTTTGTAACGAAAATTTGACTCGAAGTACCAAGTGTGTGGTATCAAATTATTCGTAAAAAATGCTTTTTCCAATTATGCTTATGAGCCTCGTTCCATTTGAAAAAATTGAGATATGATTAAAAATACGATTTGAGCATTTTCTAACTGGCCATGACAAGACACTAAAAACATTAGACGATCAAATCTATTTTTCCAAGGCTCCTTGATTGAGAATTAGTTTTGACATAGCCATGGCACTCTAGATTGAATTTTAAAATACAATTTTTTATTAAGCGAGAATGTCAAAAGTTGACATATGATATGTCATTCTATTCAGAAAATCCATTTTCTATCGAATAAAATAAAAAAATACCGAGGGTGCCATTTAAAAATTAAAAGTTGTAATCATTTCCGGTGAAACAGGAAGTGATCAAAAACAACTGAATACGTCAATCAATCCTAATTTATGTCATATATTAACATACTAAATCTCGTTTTTTTATTTGAAAAAATAAAAAAGTTATAGGTGTGAGCCATTTTTGAGACGCACTCGGTAGTTTAGGCACAGGTACCCGTTGTTGATTTTCTATTTTGATTGGTATGATTAATTTATTTTATAAGAATTTTTATGTTATACGACATTTTATCACTTAAAACTTCTTCCTGGGAGGGGTAATTACCCCCATTACCCCTCCCGTATATGCGCCCCTGATACTAGTATTTAAAGGGCTAAATAAAAATATAGAAACTTCTTTCAATGCACAGTAGTGAACGTAACGTCTACAGGGTCCAGCAATAGTGCGTCGGGCATCTGTAGCTCCTAGAATAAAAAAACTTGGGAATTTTGTAACAAACCTAAAGTATGTACTAGGATGTATTTCAGGAAAACATTTTAACCTCTATAGGGTGGCTGAAAGAAGCGTGAGTGGGTCGGGATGATTTTTTTTAAATGGAACACCCTGTATATTATTGCATTTTTGGCTTCCGTTCAGATCAATTTATATAATCCTAAGACATGAGTAAACATATTTCGATAATTTAAGAGATATTAATAAGTAACTAAAAATTATATATTTTTCAGTCTTTCTTAAGAAAATTATTAATAATACAAGAACTGTCCTGAAATGAAAACTATATTAGGTATTTACTTTAGATGGTCTGTACTTACTTTGCTATAAATATGGAACTCGTAAATCATACAGGATGTTCAAAATTCTACTAATATTCTATTCTCAAGCTTTCTAAAATATAAAATAATTTTTCTCTGTTTTTTTAAATGGAACACCCTGTATATTATTTTTTTTCAATAGATGGAGAATTAAAAAATGAACATTTTTTGTATTTGGAGTATTTCAAAATTTTTAACGGTTCCGGAGATATTCCCGGTTTTATATTTCATATGGCATTTTCCACAGTAAATTTTTATCAAAGCTACCCAATGATTTTTGTCTCGTATTTTAACATTGAAAGCGCTATATGAAATAATACTGCGTGTATCTGCAAAATTATTCGGCTTCTCGGTGATTAGTAGCCTCTTTAGTGATGTTTTCTCCCTATTGCAACCAGCTTAGGTGTCGTTTTGTAGACTGTTGCCTTGCAATCCGCTCGCTACTACTTCGTCCAGTATCGCCTCTTTCTAGAGCCGTTTGCTAGTCGGTGGCCAGTGCAACCTCTGGGCCCAGCAATAGCCGCAAAGCTGGTGATTTCTGCTTGCCTCTCGGTGTTGGACGGCTTTCCATCCTGGCTTTTTTCCATCCTTGCCGAAGCAGAGGTGAGGTTTTCGCTCACTCTCTTGCCTTTTGGTGGAAATATTCCAGACTGTTCCTTGGTTGTTTTAAGGTTGTTTCTCACTATACCTTTCATATCAGCTCCCTTCCGTTTCCTTTCCGTTTACATAAAATATTATATCGTAACTGAATAGGTCTTGAAAAGACTAGAAAGTTCTTACATTATTTGTACCAGCTCTGTTAACATTTTGCTGATATTTATTTATTCTTTCACCTCTTATTTAAATCTATTACCTTTAGATAGATAGAAATTAAAAATTAGATTTTTAGATAGAAAAAAAATGAAAGAAAGAAAAAGATAGAAATTTTTAAAATAAAACTTTCGTAATGATATAAATTGTACCATAAATAGTATGGAACTGATACGGAACGGAAGCTTACGTATAGCGTCAATACAATAAAAAATACGGAATGGATATGGAATGGAAATGGAAGGTATAGTGAGAATCAACCTTTACTCTTCTCTTTTTCGAGGAAGCAGTTCGATGTATCTCCGTACTTCTGCTCCGCTGAGATCTCAGCGGGTCGTCTAGCGCCGGTAGCTTGTGTAGCCTGTTGGGTCTCGAGGTAAGCTTTCGACCCTTATAAGCTCCCGAGCTTGTGCTCCACTGCCACTGCCACTTGTGTAGGGTGTTGGACCCTTGGAACTTGCACTGTTAATGTAAATGTAAATACAGTGGGGTGCCCCATGGTGCCCCAAGGTTGAGACCATTAAATGCTCTTTTATTTAGCCACGCATCTCTTTAACTTGGCCCCGCCATCGTAGAATTTAGATTTTTGGTGAGGTTGTCTCCTCTTGGTTTGGGCGGTTCAGCTAAGACACGTACATCCTCTGCCCGTGAAACATAACCACAGACAGTAATTGGTGCCTGGTATGACGGATAGGGTAGTCCCATCTGGCATCGTTATACATCTTGATGCAATTCCCTGGCTACGACTGTCCCATTCCTCCAACGACAAGGTCTTGTATCTCCTAAGGGAAGAAGTCTTGTGGTAATGATTGCAAATAAAAAATTCTTTAAGAAATCCTACAACAAATATTACTTTTCAACTATTGCAATAATTTAAAACTGTGCAAGTGATTTAGAATAACTCTCAGAAAAAAGTTGTGATTTTTTAGAGAAAATCGTAGAGGAAAAAATAAGGACAAATGTTTATAATAACCCGGTTTATATTTAAACCTTCTATTAATTTTGTTCTCTCTAATCATTATTAAAATGAACACACTCAATATAGTTTCATAGACTTAAATGTCAGAAAAAAATGCAAATTTGTACTAGAACCATTGGTAATCGGATTTTAATTTATGTTATTGTTCCAGAGTACCATTCGAAGAACGCAAACTCGATGGGGGATCAAAGTTTGGAGAAGGCGAATCCGTTCAGACGTGCGGCAATATCATGAAGGAGACTGGCGCTCACATCGAAATATCCCACGCCAGAGACCAATCTCTAACGTTTCTCGTGACTGGAAAGAAAAACGAAGTTCTCGAAGCAAGACGCAAAATACTGACGCATTTCCAAACACAGGTTTGTACTCTAGTATTGAAAAATCGTAAATGTTTACGTTGAAAAATGTCGTTTTCACCGATAACAGTCAAAACTTAATAAATTTACAAGAGAAAAACTAAAAAAAAATGACGTCGATAACGAATTAACAATCTGTTAAATTATTTCGATTCATAATTTATTATAGTATCGGCCCCCGACAATCACTAATCTTAATATTTCGTATTAATTTATTGCCAACTATTTTAATCAGTTGTGGATTGCTCCATAACTGCAGGGTAGCGCTTCTCTTGTATAGAAATGGAATTTTATAAGTAGTCGACAGTAGTAGATGGAGTTTTGTAAACGCTGTCTTAACTAGGTAAATCAGAAGAATTTAAGCACACTGCATTTACCAATCAATAGATTTATATCAATTCTCCTTGCTGTAGGATAAGTTTCCATTTTCGGTAAATTTCTGATTTTTTTTTCATTTCAACTGACAGAATTATAACTAGTTGTTCAAATCGAACTAATTTGACAGTTATGTTGAAGTAACGTCAGGCATATCACAATAATAAGGGTCTACTGACACTAAATCATAAAAATGAAAATATCTAGGAAAATCTTTGTCTGAGTGGTAGGCAATCTCAATAGTATTTTGAAGAGAGATGAAATCTCCATTGAATATCGGAATAACATACTGGGTGTTCCATTTGAAATAATAGAGTAGCCAGTTTAAAAGTGATCAATGTTCAATATTAATTTTGTCTCAACCTGTATAACTTTTCGGACAAAGTTTTAATTTGGTTTAAAGTACAATGGTCATTTCAACAACATATTAGCATATATCGGATAAATATTAATTTAGATAGCTTTTATTCAAGTTGAAATTTTTTCTTCATTTTTAGAGAATGTTAAATATGTCGGAGACCTTAGATTTTAGTCATATGCTTTTTCTAACGAAACCTACCTTTATTTTTTTCCTAGAATCCGAAAATCCATTAATATACATATAGGGTGTTCCATTACAAAAAACACAACTTTGATGTGTAAATTTTTTTGGAGACACCCTGTAGAACTCTGATCTCCATATGTTGCGAAAAGGCGTGAAAGTGACAACATTTCGTTTTAATACACAAACTGTCGTTCTTCTTGGAGCCTCCTCGTAGTATGGGAGGCGCCACCCTGTACAGGCTGTCCCTTTTTCGTCTATTTCATAGGGCTTCTCGTTGATAAGTAGAGATACAAAGATGGGGTTTTCACATCACTGTAATACTATTTGATGACTAAAAAATGGTACACACAGAGATGGTACAAAAAAACTAAAGATAGCACACACAGATTTGTCCTAGCCCTTTTGGTTTCTGAAATACAGGGCGAATTTGAAAAAGTTGAATTTTTCGACCCCCTTCGTATCTCGGTTATCCTATAACTTATCGAAAAGCCTAAAAATTGAGTCCCATAGAGTTTTTCACGCGGAACTCAGTGGTGTAACTAGATTTTTGCTGGAAGCTATCATCTCTTGAAATATGACCCAAACTTATGTTTGTTTTTTTTAAATAGAATACCCTGTATATTATTTTTTATTTGTCTTGTTTGATTTGTTAAGTAGTTTAGAAAACACGACGGAAAGCAAAATTATCTTAAATTAAATAAAATAAAATAATACTCTTTTAAACTAGGTTGATTTACTCTTATGTTAAAAAGTTAAATATTGTATTTTCTACCTTATTTATGAAAATAAGTATAGGGTAAGTATATTTTTAGAAGGCTCATAATAAGACAAATAGAATTAAAAAAAATATATACAGGGTGTCCCATTTAAAAAACATGAGTTTGAGTCAAATTTCGAAAATGACAGCTCCCAGAATAAAACTAGTTATATGGATATTGGACTAGTCACTGGATTCACTGGACTAGTCACTGGATTATGCGTGAAAAATTGAACGGGACTCAATTTTGACATTTTCGATAAGTTATTAGATAACCAAGATTTGAATGGGGTCGAAAAAATGCTACATTTTCAAATTCGCCCTGTATTTCAGGAATTAAGAACGCTATGAAAAATTTGTGCTCTAGAACATCAGCATTTTTAGTTTCATAAAAAAAGCAGCAAAGCCGTGTGAAAATTACATCTTTGTATATCTACTCATAAACGAGAAACTCCATAAAGCACACAAAAATGGGACATTCTATGCATCCATTTTCAGCAATATAAGGTTTTTTGTCATTTTTAACCATAAGTCATCGTTTCTCACTCAGACGCAAAAATAACTGATGGTGGCGCATTTTTCAGTCAAATATTTATTTAGAGATCATATATTTGTTTTTTTTTTTTAAATAAATATGCAGAAATATGCTAATGCACACAACAACCTAACCTAACCTAACCTAACCACATGATACTGGGGTAATTATTCATTTATATTTATATTTTTTAGGCCCATAAGAGCATCCCAATCCCCAAAGAGCACCACAAGTGGATTTTGGGCAAGAAAGGCGAACGTTTGCGCGAATTGGAAAAGAACACGGCCACCAAAATATCCGTGCCTAACATGAACGACGAATCGGACGTCATCACCATTACCGGGCCTAAGGAAGGAATAGAGAAGGCCGAGCACGAGATCAGAGTGACGTCGGACCAGCAGTCGAAAAAAGCCTCCGAACGACTAAACATTCCGAAAATCTACCACCCGTTCATCGTGGGAGCGTTCAACGAATCGCTGAACCGGCTGATCAGCGAGACCGGTGCCAAGATCAACGTGCCGCCGCAGTCCGTCATGAAGGACGAGATATTTATTGCTGGCGATAAAGAGGGCGTGGCGGCCGCCAAGGCCAAGATCGAGGAGGTGTACAAGTTGATGGAGAAGAAATGCGCGACGGTGTCGGTGGAAGTGCCGAAAACCCAGCACAAATACGTCATTGGGCCTAAACGTAAGTTTTTATTTTGATATTGTTGGGATCATTATTTTAGATAAATATTCTTTAGATACTTCTAAAAATTACTGTGGGCAGTGATGGGCGGTAGGTAAATACCCAATAGGTATAATAAAGAAATTTGGGTATAGTAAACGCCACGAATGTTTGGGAGTGATTCATCGGCCGCTACCATGTGAACTAATCTGTTCAAGGTCACATAAAACTTAATTCCAGTGCCGTGGTGTTTCAAGTCATATAATAATCAATATATAATCTGTTGTAATTTGTTGTTTTAAGTGTCAAAGTCTTGTCAAAATATATATTTGGTTATAAATATAAAATGGAATGCCCCATTGGTCGCACTGCAAGCACACCAATGGACTGACGCACAAAAACGAATCAATCAAAGAAACGCGATATAGTATCGTCTTTGTCAATCACGCTAACATTTTAGAATAAGTAGGAGGAGCGCAGGCAGATGATTAAGCTTGATTTTCATGCATCCGTTGTCCGACGATACGTTGATACGATATTAATTTCATTGGTTGAATTTAAAGGCTTCGATTGGTTAACCGTTTCTAACCAACCGAAGTCTTTAAATTCAACCAATAAAATTAATATCGTATCATCGGTTCGTTGGACAACGGATGCATGAAAATCAAACTTTAGACTGGGCCTTTAAAAACCTACGTCTGCGGTAAAAATTTACGTTTTTAATGTAAAAATAATAGCGCGCGTGTCGATTCTAACTTCATCAAGCGATGAATCACTCCCAAACATTCGTGGCGTTTACTATATATACCTGGGGCGCTATTCTGTATAATCGTCGGTATCGGTAAGTTACCGACAGCTATCGGTACGTACGGCCAATGAGCGTCGTGTTGATTGTTGTTGTCATAGTTACCGATCGGCCCTATGGCAGATATCGCAAATTTGTACCGACGACTCTCGGTATCTCTACCGTGAAGTTAACAAGGGCACGGTAGAGATACCGATTTTCGTCGGTACAAATTTGCGATATCTGCCATAGGACCGATCGGTAACAATGACAACAACAATTAACACATTTTTACTATATACAAATACGTATCGAGAGCTGTCGTAACTTACCGATACCGACGATTTTACAGAATAGCGCCCCTGGTTTATACCAAAAAAATTTAGAAGGTGTAGGGTATATGCATCTTGAGAGAATATTTCCTTGGGGAACCCCCTTGTAAAATTTGATTATTCACCTAATCTAAATTAAACTGTCTACATTGGCTGTATTTTCGATACTAGTAAGCTATTGGGGTGGGGTAAGATGGAGTAAGGTGGTGTGAGATAAGTAAGATAACAATAAAATGTTAAAATTTGTTATAGTGATTATTAAATTAACAAAATAAGCATAGTTGAGTATATACCAGGTATACACGGTGCTACAGATTCAGGGTACGAGCATTGGTATCTCAGTAACCATAATAGATACGAACTTGGTTAAATTGGAGGAAAGTTTTGGTTTGGGATATTCACCAAGATGCAATTAAGAAACTTTTAAAAATTTCAAGGATTTCTGAATTTTGGAAAAAAAACGGATTTTTTAGAAAATCAATTTTATTTTTTCCTGTCGTTACTTTTTAGAAAATCAAAAAAACTAATTGCACATTCTCATAGCCACTTTATTACGACGATCTGAGAGTATTTTTAGATTTTCAAATTAGTTGATAATTCGTGAGATACAGAGGGCAACATATTTTTTTTAATACTTTTTGTTACCATACTCCTCCGAAACGGCTTAACCTATTTTGATGAAAAAAATTAATAAATTTTGAATTAACGTTCAGGTTTATTTTTGATTGATGCCCTCTAACGGACAAACAAAGCACTTTTGTATAAAGGTAAATTATGTGAAATTAACTTATTTTGAATCAAACAATACGTAGTTGTTCTATGTCCACGGCATATTGGAAGTCACTCTATATTTTGTAGATCTGCTTTGGAAAAATAAATTCTCCATAAAAATTCTTCTCAAAAACTATGCGATGTGGCGTTTTTTACAAGAGACAAAAATGTAGTATATACTAGAGGGACCATTTTACGAAAAGAAAATCTGTCGTTGGTGGAGTTGGAAAATATTTATACTAAAATGTATGTAGGATTGGGGGTAGTTTTTACCCTTCCCGTACTTTTTCTTGATTTTTGTGAAAATGAAATGTTAAAACACTTAGCAAAACATACACACCCAAAATCTCATTCAAATCAGAATAACGGTTCTCAAAATATCTGAAAAAATGTGTTTACTTTATTAATGTTTGATGCCCTCTAGCGGACAAACAAAGCACTTTTGTATAGAGGTAAATTGTGTCCAATGGAATTATTTTGATTCCAAAAATACGTAGTAGTTTTATGTCCACGGAATATTGGGACACCCTGTATATCGCTGCAGATCTTCTCGAAAAATTGATTCTAGAATTCTGTCCTATTTCTTTTGTCTCTCGAAATTTCTGTTGATTGGCAAACTCGCTTTTCTCCTTCTTTGTCCGCTTCCCGACAGATGTCGCCATACTTTGACAGTATTTATCCAAATTCGAAGAACCCTGTATTTACCCATTGGGTATATGCCGGATCCAAAAACATCGGGTATTTATCCCAATTTCAATTTTTTTTTATCCCGTGTACAAAATAAAATAGTTATTCTTTGTAAACACCGCTGCGTTAATTCAACGGAGACCAACTTGTCAGGGATGTTTGACTAATAAAATAAATTTGCCTACAAAATAAAATGCTTAACGTTAACCAAACCAAACAAAAAATACACAAAGAAAAAACTATTTAAAATATCTAAATACAACTATTCAAGAACACTTTAGTTTTTTCAATAGTTACGTCTTTTAAAACCGTTGACGTTTTATTTTGATTTTTTTATTAAGGTGCGACAATAGCCGAAATCCTTCAAAACACCGGCGTAAGCGTCGAGATGCCATCTAGCGATTCTCCAACAGGTACGATCACTTTGAGGGGACCCCAAGATAAGCTAGGTCAAGCCCTTAGCGCCGTTTACGAAAAGGCCAACTCTGTGCGCTCTAGCGACGTAGCTGCGCCATCCTGGTTGCATAAGTACATTATCGGCAAGAAAGGACAAAGAATCAAGGAAATCACGCAAAACTTGCCAAAAGTACATGTCGAATTTACCGACAAAGAGGACAGGATTAAGATTGAGGGACCACCAGAAGAGGTATTAGAAAATTTTATTTTATGAAATAATGATTCTAAATAATTTTTTTTATCTAAATAATACTTCATAGGGAATCATCGTCTATCAATATTTTTTTTAATGAAAATAAGTTGGCATAGGAAAAAACAGACTGGACTTAATTCAAGTTAATTAAATTGAAAATATTTAAATTTCTTGGGGCTAGTGATGTATATCCAAATAGCATTTTTGGACATATTTTAGGTAATGTTTCTAATAATCGTGTCTGTTTCTTGACGCAAAATGGAAACGGTATGCCACAAATAGGAAACATTTTCGAAACCTATATATTTTATATGGCTTTATTACGTGTGTTTCCAATGTGGTAGCACTAGCCGTTTCCTGAAATGTTTCGATGCGGAATCAAAATTTTTAGAGGAAATGTTTCAAAACATTTTCTGCAATTTGTGTCCAAGATGTTCCCGTTTTCAGTAGCCACTGTTTCTAAATGTGAAGAAACAAAATACCAAACTAAAATAGTCTATGTCTTTGTGTGGATTTGAAAATGAAAACAACCATCATGTCGACCTACGCCATAATTTTATTGTCTTAAGATCTTTGGTTTCTAGGTTTTCTCGCACAAAAAATGTTTGGCAAAAGCAAATTCATCGTTTAAGTTAATAATGTACTTTCATATTTTAATGCTCTTAAAGAGCAACTCTTTCTATATAACATTATTTATTGCTACAAAATATTTTTGTTTCAAATATAGCTTTTTATTTTTATTTCTATATCATGGCTCCGAAAATAAAAATATATAAATCAATGTAAGTAGAATGCGTTCTTATGAGTTTAAAAGCTCAACAGCCGATAAAAACATATTTTTAGTTAAAAACGCTACCATTAGCCAACATGGCGGAATTTTAATTCTTTATTTTATAAAATTGACATGGAGTCGGACACAAATCATCTACATTATATTATATTTGTGCCTAAAAAGAGAGAAACTCGTTTTTTGAAAAAGAATTGACAATAAATGGAAACCTGGTTTCCAATATGTTTCGATTAAGCACTATCTGTGTAGAAATTTCGAACTAGTCACCCGCCAACAACGCCAATTAAAACTTCTGGTCAAATTAATTAAAACATTTTTATTTACTTATTATAACACTATTAAAACATAAAAACATGTATTCCATTGTGGAAAAAAAACAGAAAAAAACGTTTGCTGGTAACATTTTTTTTCGGTCTCCTGTTGGGTATGGGTAGTGGTTGTTATTACATTTATTCCTAAAACAAATCATCTCTGTAATACGTATAATAAATATTTATAAAATCGCATAAGAAAAATATCTGTATTTGTAGTATTCCTCCTGCATTTTTAATTATAGTACTATAAAAACTTGAAGAATGCTTAATTGCAAAAACTGCAGAACAAAATCCAAACAATAAAGTAAGGTTATGTTCTCATATTTGACAGAATATGAAATAAATTATGGAAACTTTTCAGGCACAAAACGTGTACGAAATCTGTAAATGTGAGCCACATATGTTTCTTAAAATTTTCGAAAAATTTCTGACATTAAGATCTTTATTGTTATTAGCGATGGGAACTATCGAATGAATTAGACTATCGAATGGTTACTGAATGAATGATTTCAACTATCGAATGGTTTTATTCGAATAAAATCATTCATTCATTTGTATACTAAAGCATATGTGACAACCTCGCCCTGCGACTAAATGGTTATCGTTGAGCCACGACTATCGAATGCTTTTGATAAATGAAATTTAGTATTCGTTTGATTTTGTGTGCGTCAGTGCATTATTAGTTCTTCAAATTTTTATACCTTCACCTTATAAATACTGTGCTATTTTTGCGTTTATTAAAATATTTAAAATACTAAAATAGTAGTTTTTAATTGACGATTGTGTGCGTTTGCAGGTGTCAAAATTTTTCCGAAAATTTGTGTGATTTTCCGTAGCCCGATCTTTCAATTATTTTATTTTATATGGTATATATGGTCTATTTTTTAATGGGAAATTTTGAGAAGTAGCAATTTTTAAGAGAGATGAGATGAACTTGAAGTTTTACCCGTGCCAATTTAAAAATAACGATGTTTGTATTTTGTTTATGCTAATTCTCTTACATGCAGTGTTTTGCGAAGAAATATTTCATTTATTTTTTAAAGTAAATGCCAGTAAAAGTAAATATTATTTTTAAATAATAATATAAAGTACCTAATATAAATAATTTTGATTTCTAATTTTTCATTTATATTTTCCTTCCATTACACTGCATGCTTAGAAAATTAATAAATGTTTATATTTCATGATTTTAAAGTTTGTTGTTAATATAACAAATTAGTTCTGTAATTATTATTATTTAATAAACCAACGATGCCAAAAAATTTAAAGACTATATTATTTTTAAATAGGATCTAATATAAATAATTTTGACATCTAATTTGTTGTTTATATTTTGCTACTACGTAAAAAAAACGTTTATATTAAATTATTTTAAATTTTGTTGTTAATAGGTATAACAAATTATTACTGTTATTATTATTTTTATTAAACCAGTCTTTGTTTAAAAACATTAAAAATCATTTTCCTATATCCAAAATATTTTATTATCTAACCTAACCTAACCTAACCTAACAACAGAATATTAATAAAAAAATGCAAAATATATAGACATACTATCCCTAACTAACTAAAGCCAAACCAATATATGGCAACAGCGCCCTTCATAATGTATTTTCTGTGTAAATACTAGCACCTCAATAAAAAAAATAATGTGTCCTTATCTTTATATGACTCCGCAAAAAATCAAAGATGCCGGCTTCTTTCTAGCATTGCCACCGACCGCTGTCGAATTTCTCGGAAAGAAACCTACGTCGCCGGGCGACAACTAAAATCCAGTTAATATTTTATATAATCATATCCTGACGAATAATGAATTTCATAAATGAATGAATTTTATAAATGAATGGTTTTTGCTGCCGAATTACTAGAATACATTATTTCAAGGCAGATGACGCATCTATTCGATAATTTTTATTCGAATAGTTTTCAACGAATGTTTTTTTACTAGCTATCGAATTATTCGAATGAATTGCAACTATCGAATGTTTCGATAGTATTCATTCGATAGTTCCCACTACTAATTGTTATAGCTTATGTAGCGAAACCACATTTTGGTAAAATATTTTGAAACAAAAAGCGATTTATGTTACGAAACATATGTATCAGAAATGTGACGAAACTGTTTCGCAATGTTTCTCTGCAGATATTTTGTTTCGATTTTGTGTCTAAAAATGCTACTTGGGATAAAATGGCAGCGATCTTCATTTCATAGCCATCGCTGACGCGGTTTTTTTTTTCGATCATATTGTATTTCCACAATGAAAACTACTCTGTTTAGTATTGAACAGTGTTACAGTGTTTACGTAAATATTTGTTTTGTAGGTTGAAAAGGCACAGGAACAAATAGAAGCTATCGCTAACGACCTAATTCAGACCATGTCTTTTGTGGAGCTGCAAGTAGATAACAAGCTTTTCAAGCATATCATTGGCAAAAGTGGAAGCAATGTCAATAAACTGAAAGACGATTTTAACGTAGCCATCAATATTGACGAAAGTGGATTGGTCCGCATAGAAGGAAACAGAGACGATGTCGAAAAGACGAAGTTCGAATTGGAGCAGAGAATATTCAAATTAGAAAACGAAAAAGAAAGAGATGTTATCATAGAGCAACGGCACTTCAGAAATATTATTGGTAATTATCGCAACTATATTCTGTTTCTCTTATGTCCTCTACTTTTAAGTTTCATTCTGAACCTCGAAATTAGTGGAATAAATTTCTGGTTTCAGTTATTCCTTCTACCTAAGAGTTTACGATTTACAATCATTCGCAATCTATAAAAAATATAATAGGTCAGTAAGCGAGGATAAAAATAGGGTATTACCTCCGAATTCTTGACGTGATCACGTCATAGATTGACGTGAAATTTTAACAGTGAATAGAGATATATGTAAGATGTAAGAAACAAAAGTTACATAGTAGCGATGTGTGCTTTCACCCTGGGGGTGAGTGCCACCCCTTCTCGGGGCTGAAAAATAAATCACCCATTTTAATTGTAAAAATCAAGAAAGGGAAGAATTCTAAGCAAAAAAATGTTCTGTAACATTTTTTCAGAAATTTGATATTTTCCGAGTTATTTAGGATTGAAAATGTTAATTTTTCATCTAAAAACTGCATATTTTTCTGCCATTTTTTTTTAAATAACTCGGAAACCTTGCGTTTTATCGCAAAACTCATATAAAGCAAAAATGAAGCTTTTGGAATAACAATTCAATTCATTTTTTGTTGATTACCGTCGGTGTAATAATAGCCGAGTTATCACTCTGTAAAGGTGATTTTTTCTTTTTCGAAAATTAAATTGCAACCTTTTACCCTAAACTAATCTTAAAAGAACACATTTTTCGTGTTCGAAAGAAAAAAAAAGTGTTTGAAAAGACCTTTTAAATGTTTTTTTAAAATGTCTTTTCAAGTTCGTAGCTCAAAAACTCGCGGAGTTATGATAAAAATAAAATGGTCACCTTTTTTTCGGAAAATAAATTACAATATCTATGACTAAAATCATAAAAATAAAAACTATCAATTTGTAGGAAATTACACGGGCTACAAATTAACCTCTATAGTTGAACAGTCTTGAACTTTTCATTTTTACAAGGTTTTTGGGTTTTAAGGGCTCAAAGAAGGTGGTCCATACACGCAAGTCAAACTAGAAAAACGTAATATCTAGGAAATAAAGAGATCTACAGAAAAATTGAAAGAGAGCAAAAATATTGCAAAAAAAGATGTTTACTTTTACTCTGTTAATTTTTTTACATATCTTGCTTAGTTTTTGAGATATGCCAAAAAATTAAAATTTACCCAAAAATAAAAAAATCATTATTTTCGACTTTTTTCCAAATTTAGGCATTCTGAACCGCTCGAACTTGCAGAGTCCATTGTTAGTACCTACCCCAGGGTGAAAGCACACATCGCTGCTATATAACTTTTGTTTCTTACATATATCTCTATTCACTGTTAAAATTTCACGTCAATCGGTGTTCAGAATTCGGACCCTAAAACCCTGGCATACTGGCTTATAATTAAAATTTGTAGCATATATATCCTAGCAACAGTTTGTGCTAGTTAGTTGTATCCTTAGATCCGCTTATAAAACAAACTTTTGATTACTGACCACAATTTTTCTTGACGGAAAATTACATTACTCGCAAATTTTGAAGTCTTAGAGGAAAAAGTTAAAAGTTTGTTAACTTTGTCTACTAATTTAAAATTCCTGCCACTAATTTTGACGTTCTGAATGCTTACAGGAATAAACTTCTACCCTAATTGAAACCACTTATTTATTCCACTAATTTGGAGGTCCTGAATGAAGCTTAAAACACTCTGGTTTATTTACATATTTTTTTAAAATGAATTCCAGGTACCAAGGGAGAGACTATTAGGGAAATCAAGAATCAGTTTAATCAAGTTCAAATTACTTTCCCTAATCCTGGAGAAAGAAATGACATTGTTAAAGTCAGAGGACCAAAAGAAGATGTTGACAAATGTGTGAGACATTTGGAGAAGAAGGTTAAGGAGCTAAACGAATCTTCATATCAAATCCAAGTACCAATTTATAAGCAGTTCCACAAATTTATTATTGGAAAAGGTATGTTAACTGATTTTTTATTGTTTTATCACAATCTACTTAGGTTCTAGTTTTATTAATTCTGAAATTCTTTATTCGTTTACTGGCATAGCGTATTTAATATTTTTTTTCTACGGTAACCACAGTCGAAAGTATACAGATTATTCTATCTGGTGATGGGATAACTCGAGCGAAAATTCGCTCGAGTACTCGATTATTGAAATAATCGTCATAGCTCGATTATGAACGAGCGATGCAAGTGACGAGTTACGAGCGACGAACGCAAGCGATCTTAGAATGAAATAAATTGAAATCCAATTTTAATGTGACATACTCGATAAAAAGCCGAGTGAATTTTCTACATACATTGCAGATAGCAAATAATTTATACGACGTTATCCGTTGCGTATCTGGGTGACAAAATTTTACGACCGAATATGTGCTCAGCGCACGCAACTTACTGCTTGGCGTTACGAGTACAACAAGCGACGGGCGAAAAACCGTATTTTTAAATACGAGCGATCGCTTGATTATTGAAATCGCTTGAAACTCGAGTACTCGATTATTGAAATTAATCGGTTTTTCCCATCACTAATTCTATCTCAAACTACATATTGCAGTTGGAATCACTGAATGAGTATACAGGTGATTTCAACTGTAGTGATTAAATGCATGCCTTATATACTGTATATACTTCACACATATTATATTCTATATTATATTATATACTTCACACATATGTGTGAAAAAGTTCCAACCCGTTTTTTATTATTTCGTTTCTTGAGATTGTTTTTTATTTTTGAGTTTTTAAAAGAAAGTTTTTGTGAAATTTCTTTGGCAACCCAACAACAAATAACTATCATGGCGGTAAAATTCATTATGTAAAAAACCGGGGATAAATGACAAAATATTGAAAAAATTCAAAGAGAAAAGTTGTTCATAATTTGATTTTACGTTTATTTGTCATTTTCATAAATATACAATTCATTAAACTTGAAATAACTTAAAGCGCGTTTTATTCAAATAATAAATTATGGATGTTTGTGATTTTTATTTTTTTATTATTTAGAAACTTAGGGCAGTAAGCAGGGTTTTAGGGTCCGAATTCTGAACACCTGCACCGATTGACGTGAAATTGTAACAGTCAATAGAGATATATGTAAGAAACAAAAGTTACATAGTAGCGATGTGTGCTTTCACCCTGGGGGTGAGTAATAGGTCACGCATTTTAATTACAAAAAGCAATAAAGGGATGAATTCTAAGCAAAAAATGTTCTATGACATTTTTTCAGAAAATTAATATTTTCCTAGTTATTTAAGATTGAAAATGTTGATTTTTCATCTAAAAACTGCATTTTTTGCCAATTTTTATAAATAACTCGAAAACCTTGCGTTTTATTGCAAAATTGATATAAAGCAAAAATTGAGTTTTTGGTGGAATAACTAAAAAAAAGAAAAATGCAACAGAGGAAAATTGAAGGTCTTTTTTTGCAATATTTTTGCTCCCTTTTAATTTTTCTGTAGATCTCTTTATTTCGTAGATATTATGTTTTTTTAGTTTGACTTGCATGTAAGGTCCACCTTCTTCTGAGCTCTTAAAACTCAAAAATCTCGTGAAAATTAAGAGTTCAAGACTGTTCAACTATAGGGGTTAATTTGTAGCTCGTGTAATTTTCTACAAATTGATGGTTTTTATTTTTATGATTTTAGTCATAGATTTTGTTGTTAATTTTTTTCCGAAAAAATGAGGTGACCATTTTATTTTTATCATAACTCCGCGAGTTTTTGAGCTACGAACTTTAAAAAGTCTTTTCAAGCACTTTAAAAACGGTCATATTCATTTTCTTCGAAAAATGTGTTCTTTCGCCATTATTTTACGATAACAGGTTGCAATTTAGTTTTCGAAAAATAAAGAATCAAGTTTACAGAGTGATAACTCGGCTATTACTACACCTATGGAAAACAACAAAAAATTAATTGATTTGTTATTCCAAAAGCTTCATTTTGTTTTATATGAGTTTTGCGATAAAACGAAAGATTTTAGAGTTATTTATAAAAAATTGCAGAAAAATATGCAGTTTTTAGATGAGAAACCAAGATTTTCAATCCTAAGTAACTCGGAAAATATTAATTTTCTGAAAAAATGTTTTTCAGAATTGAACATTTTTTGCTTAGAATTCATCCCTTTATTGATTTTTGTAACTAAAATGGGTGATCTATTTTTCACCCCCGAGAAGGGGTGACACTTACCCCCAGGGTGAAAGCACACATCGCTACTATGTAACTTTTATTTCTTACATATATCTCTATTCACCGTTAAAATTTCACGCCAGTGGGTGGAGGTGTCAATAATTCGGAGGTAATACCCTATTTTTATCCTCGCTTACTGGCCTAACTGTTTATATACTAAATATTCAATTTTGTTTTTTTCAGGGGGTGCAAATATTAAAAAGATCAGGGAGGAAACGAATACAAGAATTGATTTGCCAGCTGAAGGTGATAAAAGTGACAGCATAGCAATAACAGGAAAACGCGAAAACGTTGAGGAGGCGCGTAAAAAAATCAAGGAAATTCAAGACAAACTGGAACATATTGTTTCTGAGGAAATTACTATCGACCCTAAATTTTACAATTCACTCATTGGCGCTAAAGGTAAAGTTTTTTTAAATAAAATATATATAAAATAATTAAATATTATGCTTGAAAACAATGAAGTTATAATATTTGTTACCGAAATATAGCATGTTGGTTATCTTACTTATAAAGTATATAGTATGATGTAAAAAGAGCCATACTGACATTTTTAATGACAATATTTGTTCATAGTTCGTGTCGGACCAACTCGTATTTTTTTTTTATTAAAACCTGATAAAGTTCAGCAAAATAAAACACTAAATCACCACAATACACCAAAACACTTTTACTTTTACACTGGACGAACGTTTCGCTAACCATGTTAGCATCATCAGCAGATGATTATAAACTGAATAAAGTAACTTGTAAAAGGAAAAGTGTTTTGGTGTATTGTGGTGATTTAGTGTTTTATTTTGCTGTGTAACACCAAAGGTTCCAACCCTCAACTGTAATCTGATAAAGTTAATAAAAAAATAATTGTTTATAATTAATATTTAATTAAAGAAAAATATAAAATTACTAATTTTCCCAAAACAGTTTTTACATTTTCAGCCTAAATATTAAATTGAACTTCCAAAACGAAACTAAACGGAATGAATTAAAATGGCGTCGAATATTTTCGAATTTGTTCTAGAACAAATCTGAAGTTGTCTCTGAAACTGAAATCTGTCAATTCTAAACTGTGAAGTTAGACAATAGTTAGACAAAAACAATGCTGTCCTTGTCTAGGCGGCAATACTTGTCGTGAGGAGAATGACAGGAATGACACTAATGACTGTTTCCAATTTTCCTATTTCACTGTCACCCCCCTGGTGTTGCCATCGAGGTTGCCATATTAAAATGTGTAATATATGTAGTATGTTTGACGAAAATATCTTTGGATAAAAAATCCAAAGATATTTTCGTCAAATCCATTGTATTGAAAATTTATTCCTGTTAACATAGAATAACCAACAAAAATATAAATTCTCCTAGGGGCCACCCATAAATTACGTCACGGGGGGGAGGAGGGTATCACAGTAATGTGACATAGTAGGTTTGTTCCAACCCGCCGCAGAACCATCACCGAACGATCACGCTCGTGCGCAGTAATTCAAATGTGTTCCAACCGAGATTTGACGGTTATCGGACGATCCTATTTGCGTTAGAGGTGTGTAGTTCTTGAACGAACTAGTTCCAATGAACTATTCCGACCCCGGAATGAAAGGAACTAGTTCCTGGTTTTTCAAAGAACTAGTTCCTCCGGACCTATTACGCTTCCGGGATCGAGACTATGACCGATATAAAATAATATGCGACGGCGGCGGATCGGCTAGCGCGCGTAACCCGATGGTAGGCAGGAGTGGGAAGTGCCAGCCGTACGTTATCGGATCCGGACCTAGAGGAACTAAACTAAATAAAAGACTAGTTTACGTACGAAAGGACCGGGCCAGCGCGATCGATGCTAGGCAGGAGTGGGGAGTGCCAGCCGTATGCCGTATGTTATTGGATCCGGAACTAAAGGAACTAAATAAAAGACTAGTTTACGTATGGATCAGCCAGCGCGATTGATGCTAGGCAGGCGTGGGGAGTGCCAGCCGTATGTTATCGGATCCGTACATAGAGGAACTATTAAAAGACTAATTCACGGGAATCTGTCCAGTCGGCAGATCCGAGATATAATACAAGGCGACGACGATGGATTCGGCCTTGCCTATTGCCACAGCCGGCGCGGCGTAATTACCACAGAAATTTGTCGTGGATACTGTTTTTGATTTTTAGTTTGTTTTTTAAATATTTTATGGGAGTGTTTCACTTTAAAGTTTTGTGACGTAACATGTTAAAATTTAATTTTAACATTAATACTTGCATCAGTGGGGAGAGGGTTCTAAACATGTGACAACCTGTGACAAGGACGGGGGGAGGGGTTCAAAAGTCCTAAAATTCGTGTGACTTAATTTATGGATGGCCCCTTATAGGTACTGAATATGTCGTATGATCGAAAAAAGTCGTTTAGTTGGCTTGGAAATGACATTTACCATAATATTTTACATATGAAGTAATAGCGATCTTCATTTCCATGCCAACTCTCGCCGTTCTTTGTTTATTCATAATATTGTTTAATGATAGAAAATTTGTATTATTAACGTACTGTACCCAAGATCCGTAGATCTACGGATTAATCAGTAGTTCTGGCAACACTGCCTCCGGCAACCACTCGCTCTGTCGACTGAAAGCAGAACTACGGTCTGCTACGGTACAGTATTGTTTATCCGCTGCGTTGTAAACGTCTATCAGCGTGCAGCGGCGCAGAGCTAAACTAAATCTCGGAATTCCCGAACAGGCTGATGGTAACGCCAGCTACATCTCGGACAGGTTTTGTGACACGAAGTCGCCCATAAGGTTGCGCATAGTGATGTAGAATTATCGGTAATTTATAAATCGATAATATTACCGGTATCATTAGTAATTTAAAAAAAACAGCTTTTTAAATACGGCGCTCTCTGGTAAGCGGTCAGACAGATATGTCACGCTGCTTCGCAAATCACTTTCGTGATGTTAATTAAATGTGTTATACATTTTTTAGGAAAACTAATTCATTCCATTATGGAAGATTGTGGTGGGGTCACTATTAAATTTCCCGGTGCCGACGACAAAAGCGATAAAGTCACTATCCGTGGACCAAAGGATGACGTCGATAGAGCGAAAAGACAGTTACTTGATTTGGCGAGTGAAAGACAACTTGCTAGCTATACAGATGAGGTAATAATATAGTCACAGAGAAGCTATAATAATCTTATATGATTTTTAGCACTTTTCTTCATTTACGTCAGAATTGTTGAATACTTATGCTGTATTTTTCGATTTTTCTTAGGTGCGTGCCAAAGCCCAACATCACAAATTCCTTATTGGTAAAAATGGTGCCAATATTAAAAAAATTCGTGATTCAACTGGGGCACGAGTAATATTCCCATCTAATACTGATGATGATAGGGAAGTAATCACAATCATAGGTAGAAAAGAGGATGTCATAAACGCCAAACAACAACTCGAAGCCATGATTAAAGACATAGTAAGTATACAAATACAAATTATCAAACATTTATTTTAAGTCATCGAATAAAAAAACTAAGAAAGGAGTAAAATAGTATTTTTATATTTAGATATTAGAGACGGACGCTAGCCAACTGTAGCAAAATTTCTTTAATTTTTTATTTTTAATGGTCTAATTCTTTAATGATTTTATACACAGATTTGGTCACTGTAGAAGCGTGGTCTGAATTTTAATGTGTAAGACAGTGATGGAGACATATTAATGAAAAATCAGTTGTATTAAAAAGAGAAAAAAGTTTGATCGATGCATTTCTTCAATGCGGTATTGCCGGATTTTGCATCTAAATATTAAACCGCTCAAGTAAGCGTTTACGAAAAATGTCGCATCTAGGGTTGAATCTTAAATTTCCACAATTAGTTACTTGTTTCACTACAGCCATAATAGATTCTTATTAAGCCTTGGTCTCAGAACTACGTTGTGTCGCTGGCGACAAAAACAATCATAGTTGTTAGTTTACTAACTAAAATCAAAATTGACAGCTGTTTGAATGGGCTCTTTCACAAAAAAATAAAATACCCAATTCAAGGACAAAATCTGAAATAGAAGACTATTTTCAGTATATTTATTCAAAAAAATAGTTCCATGACATTGAATAATTTTTTTATAGACCCTACATATTCAGATATTAGTAAATTTTAACTTTTTTTTCGATTTTTGTCCATAGGACGAAGCACTGTGCGGCGGTGTTGCCGCTTTTCAACATGCCAGGTGTGACGTATTAAAAATAAAGTGCGGATTTTTACTCTGAGCTTTTTTGTTTTTATTTATTTTCTTAAGAATGATTTCAAGTTTTTCGAAAGTGAGATAGCAGAAAATTCTAGAATTAATTGGTTTATTCGATTATGCGAATTCCAAAATATAGTGAAAGAGCCCATTTAGTACAAATTTTATTGGTTCTGTGTCGTGTAGCCCATGGCACTGCGTAGTTTTTGAATGAGGCTTTACACCTTAAACACGATTACTAGCATTATTTCTGAACTAATCTGAACATACCAATGAATATTTATATTCAATACTTAAATTTTAGTTACGTAATCGAGGTCGCGATTTTTAAATTCATGGTTGCCAACCAGGAACATATTCGGCGCTTGTCTGACTAACTGGAATTTAAATTACCCCCTGGAGATTCAGGTGGTAGCTCTGCTGTAAAAAATGTCCTTTTTCCCCATTTACTTATTTATTTCCTGACATTGCCATTCATTTTGACACTTTAGTTTTGTATTAAAAGTTTTTAAATTTAAATGAATTGTGTTGTGATACTTTATGAACTGGCAACACTGTATGCCGCTTTTTCTATTGTCTTTCTGTCTGTCAACTAGTGGTATATATACATACTTATATATACATATGCATTAAAATACAGCCACAGAAATAAAATACCCAGGGCCGTATACTCGAAACTATTTCTTGATTGGTTTTAAATATTTTAATGGAAAATCGAATACCGCATAGAATAAATGTATCAGCCCACTCTAATATTTTTCTTCAAACACGTTTGAATTTTCATTATGGTATCTCCATCATTATCTTACATGTTTAAATATAGACCATGGATTTGGAAGACCTGGCCATCAGGAAATATATTATTAAAAAAACAACTTATAGTTAGCTGGAGTTAACTATAAGCAGTACTTATTAATCTTTTTGTTAAATATTTGGAGTAAAGCCACGCGGATTTGTTAAATTATTATCTATATATTTTTATTTAGGACAACATCATCGAGGATGATATAAAAGTTGATCCTAAGCATCACAAACACTTTGTTGCGAGACGTGGGGAAGTTCTTCATAAAATAAGCGACGACTGTGGTGGAGTCTTGATATCTTTCCCCAGATCGGGAATCGACAGTGATAAAGTGACGCTTAAAGGTATGTTAAGACTTTTAGTTCATTGCAGTTTATTTTGACGTTATTTTTATTATTTAAATATGACCTTATTAGCGTTAATATGTTCTATGATTCGATAATGGTATTAATTAAGGGAAACAAATTTATTTTGTTTGTATTTTTTGAATTGGTACAAAAAGTTGAAGTAGGGGTAGTACTGGAAGTTGACATCTTCTTGTTTTTATGACAGTTTTTAATAATGACGTCTTGGGGTCCATCCGACAAAAAACATTGATTTTAGATATTGGTTTACAATTGTAAGATGAAATTATGAACATTTTATCTATGACATATTTGGATATTGTGTCATCTTTCTCTTTTTTTTTGGTGATTTTTGACTTGGCTTGCAGTATTGAGGCAACATCACATAAAGTACCATTGTGATAAAAAAAAACGATGTCAAATTACCTCAGAATTAATTATATTATTTCTAAGATGTTCTGAATTATTTTGATCTGAATTATACAAAATCCACTTATTGGTCGCTGTGTTTAGAATTTTTAATTTTGTATATTAATTGATCAATAGAAGTTCTGATTACTTAATTATTGTTAAGGAGCACGAGAGTGCATTGAAGCAGCCAAACAGAGAATCAATGAGATCATATCCGATTTGGAATCTATGGTTACTATCGAGTGCATTATTCCTCAGAAACATCACAGAACTGTCATGGGCACTAAGGGTTTCAGAGTACAAAAAGTCACGTCAGATTTTGATGTGCAAATTAAGTTTCCCGATAGGTATGTCCAAATTTTATCGTTTAGTTTTGAGATAAATTAGTTTTTTTTTGAACTTTTAGAGACAATACGAGCGAATACCACTCAGAACTTACTAATGGCGACGTTAATGCCGAACCTATTCGTCAGTGTGATATCATAAGGATTACTGGCAAAGACACAAATTGTCTTCAAGCTAAACAAGCATTGTTGGACTTGGTTCCTGTCACCATTGAAGTGGATGTTCCGTTTGAAATGCACAGATCAATTATTGGCGCAAAGGTAACAAATATTTTTGATACTTCTAATATATCATAAATAATTCTTTTTAAATATTATTCATTATTGACTTGTTGCTTTTTGATATTTTGAAATATTTTTAGTTTTTATTGTCTTTGATTCCGTGTGATCAAAATGTTTTATGATCAAACAATTCGTAAAAAATGTAATGCAATTTTCCATAAAAAAATGCTTTTTAACCACCATGCAAAGCATGTATAGTCTGTCCAACGACAAGATCCTTGACAGTGCTAGATGTGTCGGTCATTTTAATTTCAAAGTAGTTTATTCTATTTTACAAAGAAATAAGTTGGTATAGTCTATAAAATGAATAACTTTGAATTTTGATCGTTATTTTTTACCAACATGGCAAATATAAAATCTCTCTATCGAAAAAGTTACTGATATTCTTTAAATTGAGTGCCTGAACGAATCAGATAGGTAACTCTTTTTACTTTGGTGAAATAGTAAAGGAAAATAATAAAACAAGTGACAGTTCTTCCTCTTCTTGCAAAAATCAACACGAAATGTCATGCTTGTCAAAAGTAAAATGTCATCAGTTTCTAAATATCAGATCAATGCCGTCTCTAATAGATCAGCCTCGGAGCGAGATTTATGACGTCACGCTAGTTAGATACTAGCGTGACTATATACGACTACTATATACGCATTAATAAATATGTTGTAGAATACATAGAAAACGTAATTATTCCTCGTATTTTTGGTTTGTGTTTTAAAAATGATATAGTTTGAAAGTATACATGAAATATACATAATATGCAGTTAATAAATGCAATGTATCTACCTATTTATAGTAATAAATACTTTGGCAAATAAACTATGAACCATACAAATGCAGCAAATGTTCTACAATATACAAATAATGTATAGGTACATAAGTTAATGGGTAAAATGTAAAATATATTTTAAATTTTGGAGTTTGAAAATCGATCTAATTTAACAAAAAACATTTAATATCTACTAATAGTGATGTATTAATATTTGCATTCACAAAATTTCTATGTATATTGTGCAAGTATCAATGTTCAAAAAATTATATTTGCAAATAATAAAATATCATAGAAAACAAGGCGTCAGCGATGGCTATGAAATAAAGATCGCTGTCATTTTATATGTAAAATTATTCTAAAATTTTAGATTTTCTTGGGATTTAGGTTCGGGAAAAGCGCTGATTAGGTTTTCATTTGGTTTTTCATTATTTTTATTTGGTTTAAAAAAACGTTTCGGCTAAGACTATAGCCTTCATCAGTGTTGTGTCATATGAAAAAATAGTGTCGAATATAATCCAGAAAATTACATATAAAATATTCACACCACACACTACATAATGTTTACTGCAATTAATAAACTAATACAAACTTGTCAAAAGATGACCACAAATTTTTTAAATTATTATACTTAACACTAAAACTATCTACATTGACTATGGAGTACGATTTCAGCCATAGTCAATGTAGACAGTTTTAGTGTTTTAGTATTTTACAACATATTTATTAATCCGTAGTATCTAATTAGCGTGACGTCATAAATCTCGGTCCGAGGCTGTTCAATTAGAGACGGCATTGCGTCAGCATGGCCGCAAGTTGCTAACCTGATAAAATTAACCCTAGAAAAGCCCGCGAGAACTGTCAAATTCAAAGTTATTCGTTTAACAGACTATACAACGAGAACGCATAGCAGGAAATTAATATATTTAAAATTTGCCTGATAAGTGATTACTTCAAAATATTGTGAAAAAAACTGTATAAAACTGAAAAAATGCAATCGAGTTATATTATTTTAAAAAAACTGTATATGTGTTAATACAAAACAAACAAGAACAAAACACCACTTACCAAAAAAATATAAAAAAGAACTGTTTCTTACTTTCAAGCTTCAAGAAACTTCCCGCAGTTATTATTATATTTATCAATATAACTTTTGCACAAATACTAATTTGTCATATACCACAGGAATAAATAAAACAACATAAATAAAACAAACTATTTTATTAATAATAACACTTACCAAATTTTACACCTTAAAGGTTGATTAATTAACTTTAATCTTCATTTTTTAATTTGGCAAAACTTTGACAAGCCTCAAAAATCTAAAGGCGAGTTCATACGCATCGGCGTCCGTTTGTCGTTCATCGGTTCATCGTTCCATCAAACCAATAAAATTGAAATATGATCCGTCATTTATGAAATAAACCAATAAAAAATATTTTCTTAATTTATTACTTCTTCAATTTTTGAAACTACACTTTTTCAAATATGTCCTTCAAATCCTTCAATTTAATAGCAGTTGAAGTTTCACTTCAAATATGCGCACATAGTGCGTGCACACTTTTTTTTTAATTCTCTTGTCATCTGTTTTTTATCTCTGTAATGTAACTTGTGTAGCTTAGAATATTTAGTTTTAGTATGTACTTCGAAACGGAGAGTGAGAAACTTCATTAAATTTCACTGAAACATTATCTACAAAAAGATAGTTCCCCTGGAATAAAATCTAACTTATATTTTTTGCTTTTTTAGGGACAGGCTGTCCGAGAGTTTATGAACAGATTTGACGTACATATTGTATTGTCTTCTACGGAAATCAAAGAGGATATTATAAAAATAACGGGAACTCCTGCCAACGTGCAAGACGCCAGAGAAGCGCTTTTGGATCGCGTGAAAGAGCTCGAGGCAGATAAGCAAGACAGAGTATTGAGGTCGTTCGCTCTTCAAATCGAAATAAACCCCGACTACCATTCCAAAGTTATCGGAAAACAAGGCGCAGTGATTACGAAAATCAGGAAAGATCACGATGTACAGATCATTTTGCCCAAGAAAGGTAAGAATAGTTAATACCATATGATCGAAAAAAAATCAATCAAATAAATTATATGATGTCAAATTTTGGTTATTGGCTATTCCACGCTAATTTCTGTGTATAAAATTATTGCACAAGTACATCAAAAATTTTAATAACTCTGATTGGCAGCGTGTTATCTAAAAGCACTACAAGCTTATTTTCAGGGCAGTTTATTAAGAAAACTATAGATGAAAAGCAAAATTGTCTGGTTAGATTATTTTAAATAAAATAGCAATACTTTTTAGGTTGATTTATATTAAAATGTTAAGTAATGCGTTTTTTACCTTATTTATCAAATTAAGTATAGAGAATGTTATATTCTTTTAAAGCTCACAACAGGTCAAATAAAAGAAAAATATAATATACAGTAGGGTGCACCAAAAAAAATATATTTTTTTTCTTTTTGGTTACCGTGAAAATATCGTTCAGGATGATGAAAAAAATTATGGTAATTGAGCTTTTAATATTAATATTAAGAGGGTTTAATATTAATATTAAGAGGGTCTTCGTGATTTTCTATTTCCCATTATAACATGGGTAAACAAATTCTGTTCTTATTTGGAATTTTATTGCGTTCTACATATTCTTGTAGGAAATTGAACGGTCTTCAAAAAAAGTCTAATATGAATTTTCACTTAACCAACTCATTTGAAAGTTATTGAAGGTTAAAGTTCAATAAAATTGTATATGATAACTTCCACAATTATTATATTTATATTTTATCATGAAACATTGGCTCATATCATAAACTATCATATTTTATCACGAAATAATGGCTCAAAAACATAAAATATGATATTTTATGTTTTTGAGCCATTATTATGTTTTATAAAATATAAAAAATCGTGGAAGTTATGTATAATTTGAAGTTGAACTCTAACCTTCAATAACTTTCAAACGAGTGGATTAAATGAAAATTAATACTCTTTTTTGAAGACCGTTCAATTTCCTACAAGAATATGTATTGATTTTTACAAAACGCTGATTTGTTAGAACGCAATAACATTCCAAAGAATAAAAAAAATATTTCCCCACGTTATTTAAATGGGAAATAGAAATTCACGATGAGGCACCTCTTAATATTAAAAATTCAAACATCACCAGATTTTTTTTAACACCCTGAACAATATTTTCACGGTAACTAAAAAGGAAAAAAATATATATTTTTTTTGGTGCGCCCTAATATACAGGGTATTCCATTTAAAAAAAGACATAAGATTGGGTCATATTTCTACGTGAAAAACTCAACGGGACACAGTTTTTATCTTTTTCATAAGTTATAAGATAATCAAGATACGAAAGGGTTAAAAAAACGCACCATTTTCAATTTTGCGCTGTATTTCAGAGACCAGGGCTAGGACAAATCTGTGTGTATCTACTCATAAACGAGAAACCCGATAAAACACAATAATGGGACACCCTGTACACATCCGTTTGCTTATTTCATACCTTACAATTAGTTAACATTTATAGTGTGATTTATTTAATTTCAGGTGACGAGAACGAACATATTGTTACTATTACCGGTTACGAGAACAACACCTACCGTGCCCGAGATGATATACTGAAAATCGTCCGAGAATTGGACGAACAAGTGAAAGAGGAATTCGAAATCGATGCTCGCGTCCATTCTCGTCTGATTGGTGGCGGTGGGCGCAACATCAGAAGAATTATGGACGACTTTAAAGTCGACATTAAATTTCCGAGAAGCGATTCGTCAAATCCCAATTTAGTAATTGTTTCTGGCCAGGAAGATAATATTATCGAGGCTCGTGATCATTTGCTCAATCTGGCTGAAGAATATGTAAGTATAAATTACAAATAGTTTAGTATAGTAGTATATATATATATATATATATATATATATATATATATATATATATATATATATATATATATATATATATATATATATATATATATATATATATATATATATATATATATATATATATATATATATATATATATATATATATATATATATATATATATATATATATATATATATATATATATATATATATATATATATATATATATATATATATATATATATATATATATAAATATCTCTAAAAAGCCTAAAAGTCTCATGACTTGATTATATATATATATATATATATATATATATATATATATATATATATATATATATATATATATATATATATATATATATATATATATATATATATATACTATAATATATATATATATATATATATATATATATATATATATATATATATATATATATATATATATATATATATATATATATATATATAAATATATATATATATATATATATATATATATATATATATATATATATATATATATATATATAAATATCTCTAAAAGCCTAAAAGTCTCATGACTTGATTGGTTATCTTTCTCCATTTGTTTCTGTCTTTCGCCTTTGTTCTCCACCCATCCACTCTTATTCTTCTCAAGTCCTCTTCAGTCTGGCCCTCTTCATCCTTTTCCATCTGGTTCTCGGTTTACCCCTCCTTCTCTTTCCACCTATTTCACGTTTCATTATCATACTAGGAACTCTTGCTTCAGCCATTCTTTCAATGTGTCCCAGCCACATCTCAGTCTTTGTGCTCTAGCTACTCCTATCTTAGCGAGGATAGTGATGTTAATATTTCGGAAACTTTTGATTGTTGCGTGAAATTTCCGAAACTTTTGGAAATTTATGTAATTTTAGGAAATTTTACAATTTTACATATTTTTTGTTGATACAATGAATAAATTAGATAGACATTTGATACCAACATGTAAGTGGGAAAAAAACAATAAACATAATATTAGTTGTTATATTTTTAATAAACAATACATAACTCCTAAAAGTCAATAACATAACATATAACAAAAATTATTTGGTAACATTTGTACTTTGTACATAATACTGGCGTTGGTGCTCCCGTCGCTACGTTACTTTCGAAATAGCGATTTTTGGTATGTCTTAGGCATGGTATAAAATAGCGTTGTTAGAAAGATGAAACGTAAAAGCAAATAAAATAAAAATGTTATTTGCTTTTATACATTTATATAAGATTTATTGTTTATTTCGAGTAACATAGAGTCGATATCTGCACCGTAAATTTTTTGTAGATTTTACAGGTATTATGTTTCAATTGATAACACGGCCAGCGTTTCCTGAAAACGCTTATACAGGGTGAGTCTTAAATAAGTGAAAATACTTTTAAGGGTGATATATTTCGACCCCAGGAACACGTCTATGAGTTTTTTTTCGCAAAAAAGATGTAGAAAATCGCGCATTATTTTTTTTATTTTCCTGTATATTTTAGAAAACTAACTGTATAATTATTTCTTAACTTATCATGCTTACGACTTTACTCTATGGCTACGACACTAAAATAATGGATGCAAGTACAGAAAAAAATAGGTGGTTCACAAAATTGTTTAAAAATAAATCAATTTCTTTATAAATTTTCAAACTTGAATAACTCGGTTATTTTGGACTTATTTGGAAAACGGTAAAAAGAAAATATGTTTCTTTTTTCGAGTTCTACCAGCTCTGAAAATATTTGCACTTATTCAAGATTCACCCTGTAGCATAAACCCCTGTAGAGTAATATCGCGTTTTTTATAACTGTCTACCGCTGATTGAGCCACGATTTTTTTTGTCTGTCCTTTTGCATAGGTACGGCTTTTTAAATAAATAAACATGACATTCCACCAATCGACATGCATGTATGCGATTTGTCAAATTCTATGCCTCTTTCGGGTTGTCTGCCGGCATTTTAGCCACGAGAAAAATGTCTCAACAGTTTTACACGTTTCTTAATAATAAATAAAAGCTATTTTCGCAATTATAACACGTGTACCTTATAATATTTTTAGTGTCATAATTACACCCTTTCGATTGGCCGCCCCCGATTTAAGCCCCGGGATCGCGCTGGCAGACATGACTATTTCATAATGGCTACACAAACGGATACTTCATACATAAAATTAGCCATGTAACGATGATAAGGTTTTTTATGTAGCCAGCTCTCCGTCTATTATATCACACTTGTGCCTGAGAATTTTATAGTTTGAACAGAGTACGTAGATCGCCGAGTAGCGACAGAAACCGTCGGCTCTTTTGATGTGGTGGGACCAAATACGTTTAATATAACGTTTTAATACGTTTTTTATTTAAACGTATTTGGGTGGGACCAAATTTTCTTTCTCTCTCTTTTGACGTGTTTGACAGATAGACTACGTATTTAACTGCTCAACTTATGAAGTGGTCCTATAAACATGGTATACACTGCTCACAATTTGAAGTGGAATTAATTATAAAGTTTTATACAAATCTTTTTTGTTTTGTTTTATCCTTATTTCTAAATTTGAATGTATAAAATATCTTACTGCTAATAAATAATTAAAAAAACGATTCGTTGCCTGACGTGGTCTTGAAATAAATTATATAGAGATATTTGATAAATGGCAACGGTGGCAACTTCGCTTCTTCGTATGACAGATAACCTACTTATTTCGCGCAGCCGCAAAGAAAATTGAAAACGGGGCTGTCGCTACTCGTCGGTTTAGGTACTCTGGTTTGAATAACTGCATTCGTAAAAACCAAAATACTTAAATATTGACATAACCACGATTTCAATGTTATTTCAATATGATCATAGATAAAGGAAAGAAGCTGGATTGAAATGCTTGGCTTGCCGCCGAAACTTATAATTGTTTTGGAGCGCATACGTTGTAGGGCGCTGCTATAGCGTTTGCTAAGAACAACCTCAAACAAGACCAGAAATAATTTTCTCTTATCAAAGTCGGAACCTTCAAAAATTATAAAATCTTTTAAAATTTAAACCGCCCTCATTGAAAAAATACCGAAAAACTTTAACAGCGTCCATTTTCAAAGTAATTATTGCTATCTTGTGAGTTTCATTTAAATTTTATTTACTCAAACCCCTGATAATTGTGAAAAAGTGGCATTAAAAACTTAAAAAGCTATATGAACTATGAACTGCAAAAACCATCGTGGCATAACATCGGTTTCCAATGTTTCATAGGAATTTCATACATGTCCTTAACCTTATATAAAATTAAATTTCTTATATGCAACACACTGTATTTTATTTAAAAAAATAAAAGAAAATAATAATAAATTTGAAAATATTTGGCGACATAATTCCGAAAAAACCGAATCGCCCTGAAATTATCAAAAGTTTTGGAGTGCGACCATTGTAAGAATAGTGCCAAGTAGTATTTACATTGTCTTGATGGGCACTGTCCAATCTAAACTTGTTTCTTTTATCTATGAATGCGACCAACGTGAACCGGGACGGCGGGCGTGAAAGAAAGTTAGCCGGACAGTTCTGATTTCCGCCTTACCGAGCACTGCTACCGAAAATTTTAAAAATCGGTTGAAAGGTACCAAGCCTATAGTAGGTAGGCACACGCCGTTTAGAACCAGATATATTTTAGAATCAATTGTGATAGACACAATACTTATCATATTTATTTTTGCAGCTTCAAGACATGGAAGAAATGGAAACCCGTCAGAAGCTGCGCACTCTGACGCTGAGTTTCGATGCCAATTCAAGTTCCTCTCCCGCTCCCAACGGTACCGAGCCAGGTAACGGCTTCGTGGTGCAAGGAGGTCCCTGGGAGCAGAACGCCCCAACACGGCCAGCGTGACCGACTTCCCCCGCCTTCGGGCGCGGGGCGGAACAGCCCTCGCAGGCCGCGCCCGTTGCTGGTGCCTGGGGCCATCGCCGCTAAAAGATTCGCACCTCTTCTCCAATTCCATTCATCCTATTCCTTCACCTTCATAGATATTTTATTGTTAATTCGCGGTGTAGGATCAATGGAATAACGCCCCGTCGAGTTGTACCGACGGAAAACGAGGTGTGGGATCGGTATTTGCCAAAATTAAGGTACTAACCTTAGTTTGTAAGTCGTTTAGCGGATTCGTCCTCTTCCCTCACTGTTTGCTGCATTAAATAGGCCTGGCGACGACACTGGATCCTCGATTCGGAACACTGATTGAAAACACACAAACAAACTTCTTTTTTATATACTAGTCTTCCCGAGATTGGGCGGACATTCGGCCTACAACCGGCTCTATGGTAGAGACGTTATGATATTGTTTAGTTGTAAATGTTCGGTCTACTTTTTATACGACGAAAATAATTTAAGATTAATTTTATTTTTCGCGCGCAAAAAATTGTTTTACGGGTATGGATACGTTTGCGTAATTTCGTTTTAAATTCCTATCATAACATCTCTGCATTTACGAATAAGGCAGTGTATCGTGCCTTCCTATTTCTTTTATCATGACCGTACTTTATTTCACACTGTTGTTTAGCAAGATGTCTTTATTTTTCTGAAAGGTGTACCTATTTGTTTTTAATAAATTAAACTTAAACAAAAAATGACTGAGACCCGTGCCAAAACTGGGCATGGACTTTATTGTTATAAATTGGATTTTTTTTGCTGTTGTTCTGTATACATGAGATCATATTTTATTAATTATAGAATTGATTATATACATAAGCCTTGCGGTCGACTTGGTAGCCCAAGACTAACCTGAGGGAGAGAATAAAATATATATAAAAATTGTAATCGTTTGTTTTAATTCATATTCCTAACCAAATTTAATTATTAGTTGGAGCCTTTGAATAAGAAGACTAAGGAAGGAGCATAATGCTATCCATGTATTCATGCATGGTGGGCGGAAAAAGCTCTCTAGGGTGGGGATCCTTGACAGTTCTGTTTGACGATTCATTTGACACATTTGAATTTGATTTGAAATTTTGTGGATTTGTCAGTCTTTAGGAGCTTATTTTATGTTATTTATTATTTATTCTACTACTGATAGTTGTATAAAGGTAGTAAATCTAGATGGAAATTGTGGCAGAATTTAAATTAACAGTGACATTATCGCGATTTATCGAAAAAGACTCGAAAATAGTTGGTTGTGTAGTGTGCGGTAGATCTCGGCAAAAATCGAGTGAAATAATGGAACAACTTTTCGCTAGTAAGTGACTATATAATATACATACGTGTAGTAAACCGATCATTTATAAAATTCACTTAAATTAACTAAATTATATATTTTCTTGCATTTTAAAAACTTTATTTACTACTTGTCAAAGATCAGATGTCAAAGAATTTTGATACGTTAATTTGACTTACCTGCTTCAGTAGCGTATCGGATGTTTGTGATAATAAATACTTATTATAACTTATCTATTTTTATTAGAATTATATATTTTTATAACAATTTTAATAACTACCAACATTTAATCACAACGTAAAATAAAAGAACAAATTATTGAGTCTACCCCATGTCTACCCTACATCATAGTTTTACATTTTTTAAATAAAATTAGAACGGCACTGATAAATCGGAATTTAAGTCGGCCATATTTGAGGCCCATCGCGGTGTACCTAAGATTTTTGATATGCTCCTTCCTTAGTCTTCTTATTCAAGGGTTGGAGCCTGGTTGGAGCTGATAAACATCAATTTTTAGGCTGTCTCAAGAACGTCAAGCTGTCTGACCAAAGAAGCAAAACAAAGTAAAACAAACTTCCCAAACCCTGAAAAATAGAAGATCACCAGGTCCAGGCAACAACTGTGGGAATGCTTGCTAGTCCCTGCATTTTGCACGGGTTTTGCCTTGCTGTACGTTGCTCTAGTTTGTGCAGCTGCAACTGCTCCATAAGTAATCATGGGTCTTACTATCACGGTATACATCCAACGCAAAATGTAAGGGCCGCCGCCTCATCTATTTATCGCCAGTCTTTTGCATATCATGAGAGCCTTTGTGGCTTTGCTGGTATGCTGGTAATGTTCTTAATATGCCTTCTATACAGAAATTTACTGTCCAGGATTATTTCCAGATATTTGACTTCCTGTAATGCAGTATTTCTTTTCCATCTAGTTGGATTCTTATCAATTTTTCAGACTTGGCTTTCTGGTGAAAGGCACTACCGCGGTTTTGTATGAGTTGATGCTCAGTGATATAGTTGGCTTCTTTGGATAATCACACATGGTGCCTTCCTTTTCCCCCGAGCGATCATGACTATGCCATCTGCATACTCTATGCGTTGTATTCTTGCTAGAGTTAATTTATCTAGTAGTTCATCCACTATCAATCCGCTCGAATGGCTAAAGTCATATCTTGGCAACAGAAGGCATCTTGTGAAGATTGATACGTCTGTCTTCTTGTAAGCCTATAGAATGTGAAGGTGTCCCTTAGGGTTCAGTAATTGGCCCTATTTTGTTTCTGGTCTTTACCAACGACATTGCAAATCTAAATATTAGCGGTAAAATCTGCCTCTTTGCCGACGATACTTAAAGATTCTAGTTTCACTTGGAGCGGCCCAGATGTTACGGCACTATATAATACTATATCCAGTGACTACACCATTAAATCTTGGTGCGATTCTAATCTCCTATCAAAACTAAAGTGTTGTCGTATAAAAGTACTACAGAACCTTTTGTACTTAATAACACCACTATTGACGTCGTGGACTCTGTGAAATAATTAGGACTTGTTGTAGCCAACTCGTTAAAATGGGACTTGCACATCGAAGCTTTATCAAAGAAACTAAGCGCTGCCTGTTTTGGGCTAAGATCAGTTTCTAAGGAACTTAACTTATCAACCTCTAGAATAGCCCTTTTGAGTCACATCTTCGTTATGCCCTTCCATTCTGGGGTACTTGCTGCGCATCAAAATTTGATCTTATTTTCAAACTTCAAAAGAGAGCAGTTCGATATTTATTGGGAGTGGACAGTAGAACTCGCTGCCAGAATTTCTTTAAAAATTTCAAAATTCTGACTCTTCTCTCTATTCTTTTTGGAATCCGTTTGCTTAATCCGCAAGCACATATCTGCTGTTCCCTAAAGGCCATCTGACAACTATCCACTTAGGAATGCGGAGCACGATCTTTATCTACCAACCCCGAGCTCAGAACTAATTACAGGCTCAATACTGTACAATCTGCCTTTGAATATCAAGTCGATTTCATTCTTTTCCCACATTTCGCAAAAGCTCTGAAATAATACTTACTGAGAGAGCTATATGCGGTAAACGACTTTTTGTTGATGTTTAATCATGAACAATTTTGAATTTTAAAATTTTGATCATCTCACGCACTCAAAAGTCCAATATTTAATATTTTATAACTCTTAAAATTATATCCATTTACAATTTTCCTATTGTAAAATTTTATTGATACGCCTTTTTTGTGTTCTGCAATAATTGTCCATGTATGTTCTATTTGTAATTTTAATGACTTAAATTTTTTTAATTGTATATTTTTTATTATTTGTATATTTTTGTGCTTTTGTTTGTTTTGTAAATACTTTGTCGATGAAGCTATTTTGGCTTTTTTGCACAATAAAGCGTTATTTATTATTATTATATCAAGCTATACAGTGGCGGTAGGTTACTCCACCTGGTAGAAGTTCATGCGTTGTTTTAATAGTTGCAGTTTTGGTATCCATCTGAGCTGCTGCCCGTGTCGACACTGTTTTCCAAAACCAGCGAATTATCGTTCTGTTCGCCCTTCTTGGTTCTAGAGATCGTTTGACCACATTGTGAGGTTTGTTATCAAATGCCACCGCAATGGCCAAGAAGGCACAAAAACAAAATGCTGTTTCGTTGCTATCCAGTCTGTATTAGCTCTGTTAATTGGTACAGAGCAGTTTCTGTGGATCTGCCCGCTCTATATGCATGCTGACTATCGTGCAGCCCCCCGGTTTAACTTTTAGATGATTTTCTCCAAAATGGTTGTCCATTACTTTCTCCATCGTTTTTAGTATGAACGATGTGCGACTCATAGGCCTATTAGTCGTCATTGGTCAGGGCTGGTTTTTGCCTATTTTGGGTATGAAGATTACTTTTCTCCAGATGGTTGGTTTATATCCCGTAGCTAAGCTGCATCTTGTAATTTTTACTTGATGGTCAGTTTTTTATATTGTGTTTGGTTACTTTATATTTGTGAGGTGTGTATGCGAATAGCTTATTTCTTATTAGGCAAATATGATTACAAGTAAAAGTTAAGTGAGAAGTTGGTTTCTGTTTCTATTCTAACCCAGTGATAATTTACAAGAAATATCCTTAGTTTTGTATTTTTGTATTTCAATGGCAAATCACCCTACCATTTTCAAGAAGCACAGCGTTTAATATAATGACAATGAGTTTTTTGATCCTTTTTAATTTAAAAGTATTCTGAAAGTATTTTGATTTTTCCATATACTTATATTTTTTTTAGGTATATAGATTTATTTATTATTAGGTATATAGATTTTTCTTTCAATTTATGGATGTCGTTTGTCGAAATCGCCCCTTCTCTGCTTTACTTTATTTCCGCTTATTGACACAAGTATTTATATCTCAGGATAGGTGGAACAAGAAAGCTCATCTTAATATTAAATAAATTTTTATTAAAAGAAGCAATTATCACAAACATCATTAACATTTAATATGGACGGAATTACAAATAGTAATATTAAATTAACAATTTTAGATATGTCAATTGACGTACATAATGCTACAATCTTTGAATTTGTTTAGTACAAATTATATTTTTTTTAGTAGAAATATTTTCTCAGCTAAATCTAAGTTTAAATTAATAAGAGGAATTGACTATGACTGTTTTTTATAGAAATAATTCAGTCAGCACCAAATAAAAAAAGGAGACTAATACTCCGCATTCATCATCATTCATCCACTTTATACAGGGGGTCATAAAATATCTATAGTCTTATAAAGTACTACGTCTTCCAGAGGCTACGAGCGAGCGTATTTATATACAATAGGAAACGAGTTTCAAGGGCGACATGACTTTCTGGTAATTAGACAATTGAATTATTTTTTTATTAGGATTGAAGAAGTTAGAAGAAACCACCACCATTATTGAAAATTCCCTTGATCAAGTCGAAGTTACGAGAGTTAGCCTCTGGAAAGATAGGCGGATTGCCTACTGGCCGTACGTTTCTGGTAGGATGCCAGTAAACATTCCCGGAAGTATTCTCATTTTCTAAATTACATTCGACGCGACACCTGTGCACGTTTCCAACATCTATTACCCTTTGGCAGTACGAGTGAGTAGCTTTTGAGGACGGATACAGGGGTAAAGGCGTGAAAACGGCACTGGGTGGACGACGTCTGAAAATATACAAAAAATATAAATAAATTTCGTGTTCGAGTATTCGTTGGTTCGAGATTGATCCGGGATCAATATTTACTAAACCTAGGAGCTAGTTTCCGGGTTCCGGTTACGTGAGGTAGTCTGGACTGGGCTCGACCATCGGTTCCGGGGTCGTGAACAACGGGTTGGGGAACTCCGGCGGATGGGGCAGTGGGCCAGTCGTCTTGGGCCGGCGGCGGTAGGCCATCAGCCAGCAGGAAACGGCCACGGCGACGGCCACCAGCGCCAGCAGGGGCAGTGATGATGAGGGCGATGATGAACCCGATCATCGACACGCAGATGTCTTCGGCGCGTTGGGCGTCCGGAGCTGGAACATGATATTAAATGTCAAGTATTTGTTTTATGATTACTTTCAGTTATTTTTTTACACGTATCTGTATACCGGGTGTTTTCAAAAAAGG